CTTCTAACAAGCGAGAGCTCCTTGAACGTGGGACCTTCAAAAAAAACTTTGATATGAGGTTTAGATAAGACTGTTTTTTAAGCTAAAAATTGAAATATATGATTATCAGTTCAAGCAGTGCAGCTTTTCTCTGTGTAGAAACACAGTAGAGAATTTGTAATCCTAGACATTGAAAACATATCAGGCATATGAGTATAATGCAGTGGGGCGATTCATAAGGATGCAGCCCTATGCCCGCTTTCCTGTAAGTAAACCCTATTGAAAACTATAGGATTTACTTTTGAGTAGGCATGCTTGGGGCTTTGCTCTTTAAATGCATTTTGATATGGCCTCTAGCAAAACATAGTAAATGAGACTGCAACCCTGTGCACACTTACCTGTAAGTAAGCCCCATTGAACTCAGTGGGCTTACTACTAAGGATCCACGTCCTGCATTGGGCTGTGAGGTCTGAGTTCAAATACCAGCTTAGCCACAATCTAAGGTGTATTTAGGCAAGCCACTATTCTCTCTCAATCTAAGCCTCAAATCTGAAATACAGGAAATATCATCCTACCTTACAGGGCAGTTGTAAAGACTTGACATGTGTGACTGTATATATATATATATATATATATATATATATATATATATATGTAAAGGGACCCCTGACAATTAGGTCCAGTCGTGACCGACTCTGGGGTTGCGGCACTCATCTCTCTTTATTGGCCAAGGAAGAAGAAGAAGAGTTTGGATTTCACTACCCGAAGGAGTCTCAAAGTGGCTAACATTCTCCTTTCCCTTCCTCCCCCACAACAAACACTCTGTGAGGTGAGTGGGGCTGAGAGACTTCAAAGAAGTGTGACTAGCCCAAGGTCACCCAGCAGCTGCATGTGGAGGAGCGGAGACTCGAACCCGGTTCAGCAGATTACAAATCTACTGCTCTTAATCACTACACCACACTGGCTCTGGGAGCCGGCGTACAGCTTCCGGGTCATGTGGCCAGCATGACTAAGCCGCTTCTGGCGAACCAGAGCAGCGCACGGAAACGCCGTTTACTTTCCCGCCGGAGCAGTACCTATTTATCTACTTGCACTTTGACGTGCTTTCAAAATGCTAGGTTGGCAGGAGCAGGGACCAAAAAATGGGAGCTCACCCCGTCGCAGGGATTCGAACCGCCGACCTTCTGATCGGCAAATGGTTTAATCCACAGCGCCACCCACGTCCCTATATATATATATATATATATATATATATATATATATATATTGCTGTTTACAAATGCCCTATTTTCTTTAAGGATTTTTTAAAATGGTTATTTGCTGTTTTTATGACCAGGACTATTCACTCTTGTGGTTTTGATTTTGTCCCTGTTGTCTGTTTTGTTACTTGTATGTTACTGATAGCTGTCTTTTATTTCTCTTTTATTTTATTCCCCTCTGTGCAAATCTTGAACGAAAGACAAGTTGTAATTTTCTAAAACCAAACCAAATCATCCATCCTATGAACATTTGCTTCCATTGACCTCAGTGGAATTCATTTTTGAGTAAACATGCGAATGATCAGCCTGCAATGCCCAATCCATTTACTGTGTTTTTATTATACTGATCATTCCCAGCAGAGAAAGTGCATCTTAACAGAGCTATGCTAATGACTTTTTTCCTTTTCCTTTATTTTTGCCTACACACTGTAATTACTTCCCACTTTCACTCATTTCTCGTTCTCCACTTTTTATTTCAAGGGCTGTGCACGGTGTGCTGGGATTTGTAGCTCTGTGAGGGGTAAACTCCAGTGCTTTAAACATATGTGGTGTGTACACCCAAGGTTCCCACCTTCCCACAAGAAGTTAGAATAGAAATAAAAATGCTTCCTTTGATCAGGAAAGCCCCAACGCCTCATTCTAAGCAGAGTTGCTTGGAAGGCCTCACTGAGTTACATGGGAATGACTCCCAAATAAATGCACACAGGATAACCATTCTGTGATAATTATCTCTGTGTGGGAAGATAGGAAGAGTTATCCGAATCTTGGAGACCTCAGCATCATCTTCCATGTTGCTTATTCCTGAGGGATGCTGCGAATGACAGCTTTATCTTCCAGCAGCAACTGTCTCTTTTTGCACTGAGCTACCTCTGGGGAAGTATAAACTCCCTACTGTGGTAGTTGCAACATGAAATTGGCAATAAAGTGCTGGTGCCAGCACAAGTTAATAGACAGGAATAAATCTTCCGTGGAAAAGCTAATCCAACCTGTTAAGAGCGTCAATTTACTGGAAAGCAGGGGTCTTTTAAGGCCTGCGGTCTTAAAAGTAGCTTGGTCTGCTGAAATATTAAGGGCGAATGCTCCTCAGACATTGATGGGGCAGTCCAGGAGTCCCCACCCCTCGCAGGTGAATCCCACACATTTTACGTGTTCTGTGTCTTCAGGAGTAGATCAGATCATAAAGGGTTCCAGCAAGATGAGGCATCTGTGGCCCTTCAGATGTTGGTAGGCTATAAATCCCATCATCCCTGATTGCTGACCATGTTGCCTAGGGCTGATGCAGGTCTGAGTCCAATAACATCAGGAGGTCCACTGGTTTTCCATCTCTGGCTTACAGCTTTCACTGATACCTTCTAACAGTTGATTTTGAGGGGTGGTGTATGAGCACTGTGTTAGAGCAATTAACTTCTTGAAATAGCACTTTTCCAGTTTCCAGGCTTTGGGTCATTAATTTGAAGCGTGTTGTAATGTGACTTCTTTTAGTTGGGTGGGATCTAGAAGTCCTGCCTTTTATCTGTATAGCTGTGGTTCGGGGTTTTTACTCAGTTGTTCTTAATTGCTTTTAATGTAAGTCACTTTGAGTCACTCTTTGAGAAAAACAACTAACAAATATAATAAACCATAATAATATGAATAACAATAATAGAGGAACCGAGAAGTTGTCTGAGCTCACAGCTGTGCATGCATATTGTTTGCGTATTAGCTGGGTTAAGGCAACATATTCCCAAACTCTTCCCTAAATGAAGACTTGGGACTTTAAGGTAGGAATTGCTTAATGATGATGTATTTTCCTGAGTAGTATATTCTATATCTCACTTTACTACGCAGAACTGCACTGCCATCTACTGAAAAACAACAGCTCTAACCATCCACTCTTTTTGTTAAGCAAGAGGGTGTTCACAAACAAGGGCAACTTCCAATTATTGTGCCAAGTCTGAGTTGCACTAATAAATCAAACACCTGAGGGATCGTCACATGGATGATGGAGAAAATTTGTTTTCCATTGCTCCAGGACCCAAATTAACAAGATCAAATTACAAGAAATGGAATTTAGTCTAAAAATCAGGAAGAACTTCTCAAGAGTGTGAGCTGTAGAACAAATTGACTCAGAAAGTGGTGGGATCTCTTTTGTTAGATGTTTTGAACCCGAAGCCAGATGCCTACCTATCAGGGGTGCTGTAACAGTGCATTCCCAACATTGGCAGGAAGTTAGACTTGGTAACCCTTGATGTCCGTTTATGATTCTGTCTACTCAGAAGAAAATTCATGTGAGGGAGATGGAGAAGCTACAGAGATGAGTGTGCCAGAAGAGGTGCTAGTGAGGTTATTTTTTTTTACTCAGACTGCCACTGACTCCGTGAGGCACCAGCTGTGAATGAGAGACCCAGAACCGAAAGAGAGGCATAAACTGCAGAGATAAGATTGCAACATTAAGGCCTTTTGGGAGGTGAGGTTTGAGCAGAAGCCTCCAACCCAGAGAATATGATAGAACCTGTGCCTAGAGAAAGGTGCAGTAGGGATAAGAAAGCATCAGGAGGTTTTGTTTTTATTAACAAGGAGGCTGTTCAATGTGGGTCACACCCCGGTAAGTGGTAGAGTATTGCAGCCTTAAACTTACTCAAAATTTCACATGCATTATCTTGGTAATCCACATGACAGACTCTGTCACTCTTAGCAATTATGTTACATGTATATCATTTCTTAAGTAAGCGGCCTAGCCGGAGCAACTTGAAGCTCCAAAGCAGACTTCTATTATTAGATCTGATTGATGTAGATTTCACAATATTTTGCATACATAACAAAGAACAGGATGCTTCATGAATTTCCTAGGTAGCTGCAGGCTGCACCAAAGTTAGTCGCTACGCCCTTGATAGTATCAGGTTACTATTTTTCCATTTCCTGCGTTGCATGTTCTTCTAGCTAGCAACATATGAGCTAAGATGACTTGATAAAAGCCCTGACGTAAAATCAAGGAAAATAACACCAGGGTGCATCTAGATAAAGTGCGCAGGAAATTATGAGCTGTACACCTGCGGTTCCCCCATGCTGTTTCAGAAGTAGCACAAGGCAGTTTGTTTGGGAGACAAAGGGCTTATCCACATAATGTGGATTTGAAGCTGCTTGTGCCTCAATGTGTCTGGCATTGTCTTTATGACATCTTTCCCATTGACCTGGCAGCCAGGAATTTGGCCATGCCAAGCCATCAACGGTGGTTTCTTTCTCTTGTGCACTAATAGGGAAGAGCACTGGTGTGTTGAAATCAGTGGTTGAGAGTGGTGTGTACATGGTAAATCATTAACTATGGTTTACTGCATCAAGTGAATGATACCATTATTTCTAGCCCCCTCTCAACATCTTGGCCTATGAGCAGCAGAGTTCAGTTTAAGCTTCTATTTTCCCTAATTTATCCTCCCTTTAGGTTTCCTTTTCCACTTATGGTTCTGTTTTCTGGGCCCGTGATGTTTTGACCGTACAGTCATACCTCAGGTTACAGATGCTTCAGGTTGCATTTTTTTCGGGTTACAGACCCACAGAAACAGGAAGTACCGGAATGGGTTACTTCCGGGTTTCGGTAGTTGCACTAAATCGCACTTTGCGCATGAGCAGAAACGCTGAATCGCAACCTGTGCGTGCGCAGACGCGCTGCTGTGGGTTGCGAACGTGCATCCCACATGGATCACGTTCGCAACCCGACCGTCCACTGTACAACGAAGAGCAGTTTCTAACTTAAAACAGAAAGCAATAGAATGATCTAGAACAGCCTTCCTGTGCACAGAATACATTTTATTTTATAATAAATTAAACTTTCACCCAGACTTTTAAAAAAAACAATCATGCCAATGTGGAAATATGGCAAACTGAATTTGATGATGAAGGGGGTGGGGAGAGAAGCCAAACTTTACAGCTTCATTCATTTCAAACTCCCACTCCAAGTATCTTTTGCCAGGGAAGTGTAAAGCAGCTGCCTTAGACACTGGGGGGATGGGGAGTGGGACCAAGATATTGGAGAACAGAGTTGTGCATACCCCTGTCCTTAGGTGTGGTGGAAGACAGTGACCCAATGCCAGTGATGAAGTAAGATTCAGCTGGGAGTCCAGTCAGCTTCTGGTTTGGGATGAGGACACCACCTTGTTCTTTTCTTCAGGCACAAAAAAGCTGATCCTTTTCACTCCCACAGCCAGAGGCCGATGAGACTTGAAGTCCAACAACTTACAGAGGGCCACAGCGCCCCCCCCCCATTCCTGTATCTCTGCTCTATAGCACAGTTTCTGATTTCAGAACCATCATGGCTTTCTCCTGTGAACTACTGGAAATGGCAACCTTTTGTGAAAGTTGTGCATCTCTTTGGCTCTCAGAAGAGCCGCACTTGAGCATGTTCCAAATATCCATTCTTCCAGTTTCACTCACGAAGCAGTAGAGAATTGGGTCAGCTATACAGTTCAGACTCGTCAGTGCAGTTGTAATCCTGTAAGGTATAAACATCCTCTCGGCAGCGTCACAGCCACAGCCACAGCCACACTCACATGGCTCAACGATACTGCGAATGAACAGAACGACATGATATGGAGTGAAGCACAAAAAGAAAGTGACGACGATGCTCAGCAATAAGTGGTTGATTTTCCTCTTGTCCCTGTTTCGGGTTGCTTGATTGTTCTTCACGGCTCGGTATATTTTCTGGTAGCAGAAGACCATGATGGCCAGTGGGATTGCATACCCCACAACCACACGGTAAAAGTTCAGTTGGGCCTGCCAGTTTACTAGAGGGTATGTATCATAACAAAATGTATGGTTTGTGGATACAAAAGTTTCATTAAATATGTCTTCGTTCTTTAAAACCTGATAGTTTGACATGATTTCGAAGGCCCAGACAAAGATAGAGGCAAGCAAGGCAAATCTTCTTGTACGCAAATAATGGAACCTCAGTGGGTAGACTACAGCTAAGTATCTATCAATGGAAATGCAGGTGAGAAATGCTGAGCTGGTGTAATAATTCAAGTACTTAAGGAAAACAGAAAAAGTGCAAAGTTGCTGGGAAAGGTCCCAGTTATCCTCATTCTGAGCATAATAAATCCATAGAGGCAGGGTCAAAGTGTACAGCAGGTCAGCTAAAGCTAAACTTAAAAGATAGATGCCCAACTCATTTTTTTGCTTTATTTGGCTGTAGGATATATAAAGGGATGCAGAGTTGGCAGGAATACTGATAATAATCAAAATGCTGTAGAGAACAGGAAACAAATGTTGATCTAGTTCATAAGTTATAAGACAGGTTGTTGCATTGCATAATGATTTATTACAGGCCATTCTTTCCATTAAGACCAGTTCACTCCAGATGGAAGGGATATGATGCCAAAAATTACTAGTTGTCCCAATCCAATTTTGAGTCACAGAAGAGCAGATAATAGGTTCTTATGGTCCAGACTGTCAACCTTCACCAAAATGCAATTCACTGCATTTTGTTTTTGTTTCTTTGCTGCAAAGGAGAGAAAGAAAAGATGCAATTAGATGGTTTGTTTAGTTACTCTGATCGAGGCAATTGTCAATGACGCTCAAAGCAAAAAACAGTAGTAAAACGATGGAGATGATTAAAGGTACTGCTGTACATCTGTCATTTTGGGTGGCTTTAGGGTCTCTTTCCCTCTTTTAAAATTCTGAAAGGAAGGAAAACTGAGCAATGAAGGACCATCTAGAAGGAATGGCTCATGTCCAGAACAGTCTCTGAGGGAGAAAATAACACAGCACAGATTAGAATAGCTACAAAGAAATATAAAAAGGTAGCCAGTGTAGTTAAATTGCAGGATCACTTGCTGAAAGAAGAAAAATAAAAAGAACACAAACTGTAGTGAACTCTGATAAGGTAAGCAAAGGAAGAATGTGTGAAGCAAATTCCGAAAAGCAGAAAAGCAAACATTTATTTAAATGCACCATTAGCAAGAATCCACCCAATGAGACGGAACAAGGTCTAGACCACGGGTGTCAAACACAAGGCCCGCGGGCCGAATACGGCCCGCCAGACCTCGTCATGTGGCCCGTGTAGCCGCCGCCGGCCACCAGCCTTCACCTTTTATTCTCGTTTTTTTTTCTCGCTACTGCCTCTCTTTTGAGCGCTGCCCATGTGATTTTTAATACCGGCTCGCCAGTCTCCGCCCACGGGGGCCTCCTCGGACCAATGAGCGCCGGGGGCGGGGCTGGGAGCGCCTGGGGCTCCGGGGCCGCGGCTCCGCTCCGGCAGTAGGAGAGAGGGGAGCGGAGGCGACGGAGCTGCTCCGTGGGACTTCCATCCGCTTGCGCCGAGCTCCTCGTCCAGCAGCTCCGGAGTCCTGCTGCGGCTCGGAGGGAATTGAAACGCGGGTGGGAAAGGGGTTGCAGGAGGACTGACCCTGGGGGCAGTGCGTGACCCAGCCCCGGTTTGCTTACTACGGGGCGGGTGGGAAAAGGATAGGAGAGGGATGGCTGCGCCCTCGGAGCATTTCTGGCCCTGCGGGAAGAGCCGTGGAGCGGCCGGTGGATGGACGCGTGGCGGGACGTGGGAGAGGCCGAGAGGGGACTTCTACCGTGGATGCTTCAGTGGAGATTGCTGCATCGCAGGGGGGTTGGACTAAAGGACCTTTGGGGGGTCCCGTCTGACTACAATTCTGTGGTTCTCGCTGAGGAAGTGCGGCAGGGTCGGGAGGAGGGCGCAGTGCCTGAGAGAGAGAGGAGGGAAAGAAAGAGAGAGAGAGAGAGAGAGAGAGAGAGAAGGAAGGAAGGAAGGAAGGAAGGAAGGAAGGAAGGAAGGAAGGAAAGAAAGAAAGAAAGAAAGAAAGAAAGAAAGAAAGAGCCTTCAATCACTTTAAGGGGGGGGGGGACATCTGGAGGAGCCAGGAAGTGAGAGACTTGCTCACCCTAAAGAGCAGCGCACAGGCGATGGTGGTGATGGGTCTTGCTTGCCTTTTTACAAGCTTGGACGTGAGGGGTTTTTGCAGGTGGGTTGACACCAAAATATGAGGCAGAGCAGGTTGGCATGGAGAGGAACAGAGACTTTAAAGCAGGTGATCTGGAGAAGAGAGCTGTGTGTCTAGTGAGGGGTTGGGGGGGTGAAGGATCCAAGGCAAGTTCAGGGTTGCCACTCCTTCTTTCCCTCCCCCTTGGCAAGAGGTGTAAGCAGAAATCCAGCAATCGAAGGAATAGGGAGAATGGCACCCTGCTGGATTTCGTGCTGTTAAAAGGGTGCAGAGCAGGCGCCAAGGAAAAGGTGGCAACCTTTGGGAAGTGGACTGGGGGGAGCGCAGGAAAAAAGGGATGGTTGGGGAGGAAGGGTGCCTGTGGGAGTAGAATCGAGGACTGCTCACTCGCTCTTTTAAAAACCGGGATTGGGGGGCAAAATCTATGGGACGAAGAGAAGTTATGAGGGGCTGGTAGAGAATTGCACCTGAGGTTGGATTCTGGGGGCGGGGGGTATGGAGAAACCGGAGTGAAAAACTGGGAGAAGATGGTGTGGGGGATGCTGTGTGGGTTGCAGAGAGAGATAATTGGGAGTGTTGGTGGGGGGAATTGAAGGGAGCTCAGGGGAGAGGCTGAATGGCAGCAAAGTGATGTAGGCAGAGTGTGAGTGAATGAGACATTAACAAAGCAAGGAGGGTCTTGTATTTGTGGAGGAGTAAAATGGCTGACAAACGTGTGTGAAAAGCCGAATGCCCTGGGAGGAATGGAGACAAAGAAAAGCTGAGCCTCTGTTAACGAAACGCAGCAAATTAGCAACAGTTAAAATCGTGGTTGTGTAACTATTGTCCCTAAAATATCACAAAACATGTTCAAACAATCAAGCTGTGCGATCAAGTTATTAAAGTGACTTCATCTCAAGCATCAAAGTTTATTTTCTCTCCCACCCACCCACCCAAAATGGCCCTATCACCAGCTAATTTGTCCAGAAATAAATCAGTGGCCACAGTTATTCCAATCAGGTAGTGAGACACAGATCATGAAAGGTACAAATTCTGTTCCTTATAGCCTCCATCATCCTATGTCCATCTTCAAACTAGAGGTGGAATCATCTTACGCAGGATATTTTAGAGTTCCACACCTACTCATGTCCTCATATCACTAAATGTTTAATTGAATATGGAATTTCTATCAGTATGTATTTCTGAAAATGGGGGAAATGTCTACTTATTTCTCTCTTCTCCCCTCCTGAGAAATTTGCAGTTGTAAACATACAGAATTATTTTGTGTGCATAAGCCAATGTGTGCCTCTCATGTAATGTGTCTATAGCCAGTTTTTCTCATCTGTGCATTTTGTTGCTATAAACAGACATGGTGCTGTTTTAATTCTGTGCATTATTGTTTATTTTAGGGTCCAGTGAGGACCTGGATAGCTGAGTTGGTTAGAGGGGTAGTGCTGATAACACCAAGGTTGCAGCTTCTATCCCAAAGCTCAACAACTTTGGGGTAAAATTGTGAAAAAAGAAAAAAGCTCAACAACTTCAATCCTTAAAAAAGGTCAACAACTTTGGTCGGCCCTCACGCATGTTCACTTCATCAAATCTGGCCCTCTTTGAAAAAAGTTTGGGCACCCCTGGTCTAGACAAAGAAAAAAATGTGGGGGGATTAAAATACTTGAGGGAGGACAGAGAGGTCACAGTGAAGGTAGATAAATTATTTGCATTGGTCTTTACTGTGGAATCATAGAATTGTAGAGTTGGAAGAGACCCCAAGTCCAACCCCTGCAATGCAGGAATCTCAAGTGAAGCATCCATGACAGATGGCCATCTAACCTCTGCTAAAAACCTCCAAGGAAGGAGAGTTTGTAACCTCCTGAGGGAGATTGTTTCCATGTCGAACAGCTCTTGCTGTCAGAAAGTTTTCCCTGATGTTTATTTGGAATCTCCTTTCTTGTAACTTGAAGCCGTTGGTTTAAGTCCTACCCTTCAGAGCAGGAGAAAACAAGCTTGTTTCCTCTACCATGTGGCGGCTCTTCAGATATTTGAAGATGAACATCATATCTCCTCTTTTCCAGGCTAAACATACCCAGCTCCTTCAACCATAAAGCTTGATTTCCAGACCCTTGATCATCTTGGTTGCCCTCCTCGGCACACATTCTAGCTTGTCAACATCCTTCCTAAATTGTGTTGCCCAGACTTGGACACAATATTCCAGGTGTGGTCTGACCAAGGCAGAATAGAGTGGGACTATTATTTCCCTTGATATGGACACTATAGTTCAGGCAAGTTTCTGTCTTCCTATATAACACAACATTTGGTTCAGATGACATTCATTCAAGAGTTCACCAAAAATACACTAAAAAGAATTCCGGAATATGAAACAACATGGCTTAGTATGAATGAGTGAGTGAGGGCACTCTACTCCTCTCTAGTCATTCTGCAGCTGTGTTGCACTGAGGTAAAGCCATAGTTTGGCCCAGCATATTGTCCAAACCCAAGTTCATATGTGGTTTGCCCAGATAAGCTCATACCTTAGATCTGGGCAAACCACGAGCCACTGATTGTTTGGAATTGGGCTGGGGGAGAAATTTGCACTTGCTGGTGAACCAAGCTAATTCACGCTTCCGAAATAGGCACATGGGCAAAACACAGCCATCCTTCAAAATTCACACTTCTCTGTATTTTACAATGTAGTTTTCCAGCCAAGTAATGTTTACTAAATGAAATGCATTTCAGTAAGGTGTGCATAAACATGCATATATGCCTGAAAACAGCATACAGAAATGAATTATAGAACAGGAAAACGCTTTGCAGAAATGTGTTTGTTAGGCAAAATTGCAAGCAAAAATTTGTATTAGGAGAAATTCTTACTAAAATGCTGCTGAATTTTCATGAGGATAGAAATGCAGAGAACTAAATTTAAGAGGGGGTGGTGGAATGAGGAACTGAGAGACACTTAAGTTGACAGATTTGCCCATCTCTAGACTGGAGAGTGCTAAACCATAATCTAAGGTTTGCACGACATGCTAAGCCAAAGAAGCCTGTGTGTGAGAGATGCAGGGCTGGAGCAATGGTGCACACTATACACTAGTAATGTGAGACACTAATGGGAGTGGATATATGTCATTTGATCAGCGTTGTAGACCCTAGCCAATAAGTGCTTTGACCTTCAAGAATCCACACTGCACACTTGCTAAAATAAATGTAGTAGCAGGAGGGTGGGTGGGGAAGGAAGGTCACTTTCCAAGCTAAGCTGTATGGATTTGTGTTTGGGGAAAAATAACTGTAGGAAGAGAATTATGACTATTATATTTATTTATATCCTGCCTTTTCCCCAGCCTGAGACTCAAGGCGGCTTACACAGATGAAACAGAACAAGCTAAAAACATAGAAAAGACTATCATTAAAATGTAGTTAAACACTAATAGAATTAAAATAATATACAAAGATCCATTAAAAACAAAGACAATAACAATAAACCCCCACAGCACCAGCCTTTTCCTTTAAAACAATCAGATCACAAAGGCCTTTTGAAATAGAAAAGGACAGAAGGACAGAAAGGAGGGAGCCGGTCTAACTTTTTTAGGAAGGGAGTTCCAAAGTCTGGGAGCAGCCAGCAAGAAGAATTTGTCTGGGTTAGAATCATAGAATCATAGAATCATAGAGTTGGAAGAGACCACAAGGGCCATCGAGTCCAACCCCCTGCCAAGCAGGAAACACCATCAGAGCACTCCTGACATATGGTTGTCAAGCCTCTGCTTAAAGACCTCCAAAGAAGGAGACTCCACCACACTCCTTGGCAGCAAATTCCACTGTCGAACAGCTCTTACTGTCAGGAAGTTCTTCCTAATGTTTAGGTGGAATCTTCTTTCTTGTAGTTTGGATCCATTGCTCCATGTCCGCTTCTCTGGAGCAGCAGAAAACAACCTTTCTCCCTCCTCTATGTGACATCCTTTTATATATTTGAACATGGCTATCATATCACCCCTTAACCTCCTCTTCTCCAGGCTAAACATGCCCAGCTCCCTTAGCCGTTCCTCATAAGGCATCATTTCCAGGCCTTTGACCATTTTGGTTGCCCTCCTCTGGACATGTTCCAGTTTGTCAGTGTCCTTCTTGAACTGTGGTGCCCAGAACTGGGTTCCTGCTGATACCTTTGCAACAATTGCACTCTCCAAGTGCAGAAATACTTTTGTTTGGAAGCAGCTCTGAAATTGCTAGTCCTACTCAGAGTAGACCCATGGAAAGGCACGAACCTTAATTATTCAGGTCCATTAACTTCAGCGGGTCTGTTCTGAGCAGGACTAGCACAGGATAGAACCCTGGAGGTTTTTTTAGAGTTATAAACTGGTTCATAATAATTGCACTTGTCAAGTTGTTTTTCAGGAGACACACACACACACACACACACACAAATATTATTGCAGGCTTCTGAAGCAGGGGGTATTAGTTAACTGGCCATTACAGAGAGAAACTCTAACAGTGGTGTAACGTGGGTTGTCAGTGCCCAGGACCGCGTGAAGGGGTGGGAGGGAAGCAGATCAAGTACTCGTGCACATTCAACTGCCTAATGGCATCCGCATCACCCAGGAGATCACAGCCACAGAAATAAGAAAAGAAGAGTCATTCTGTAGTCTGGAAAGGTCACTTCCTGGTTCATATGGAGAAGCCATTTTCAATGGAGCCCAGCAACGGAAACCCACAGCTGTATTGAGGTGGCATCAGGTGTTGAAATTTTTGTGCCCCTAACAATTTTGCACCTGTGCTATGCCACTAAACAGGTGTATTTAGAAGAAAATCCCACTAAATGTGTTTAAGACTTCAGTCATAAAATTGAGCTTAGAATAGGGGTACGTTTGCCGAAGTACACAAGGAGAGCCTCCTTGTTCAGGCCAATGGCCCATCGAGTTCAACATCCTTTTCTCCCAGTGGCAAATCCGATGCTTATGGGAGCCCTGAAAGCAGGGCCTGAGTGCAACAAGACTTTACTCACTTGTGATCCCCATCAGCTGGTATTTGAAGGAGGATGAATATGCCCATCAATGATAGCCTTATCCTCCATGAATTTGTCAAATCCATAAACTCATATACTCAGAATTGTAGAGTTGGAAAGGACCATAAGGGTCATCTAGTCCAACCCCCTGCAATGCAGGAATTTTTTGCCCAACATAGGGCTCGAACACATGACCCGAGATTAAGGGTCTCTTTTTATAACAATTTTTAATTGAATTTTCAAACAATTAACATCTATACTTCAATAAATAACAATTTTGTCTTTGCTTGACTTCCCACCCCATTTCCCATGGTGTTTTAATTTATCCCCCTCTACTGCACATTGCATGAGATTAAGAGTCTCATGCTCTACTGACTGAGCTATTTTCTTTGAAAGCTGTCCGTGTTGATGGCCATCACTCTATTGCAGAATACCTGGAACTCAGAGAACATTCAGCAACATTTCCTATCTATAGAAGCACTCTCTCTCTCTCTGCCAATACAGTGGTATTTGCATGCACTCAGAGATAAGGGGGACGATGGAGACCTGATGAACTCTTGTTGCACTTGTGTCTGAGTGCACGCTTGCATGCACACACTAAGGACAAAAGCGTTTTCTGAAAGAGAGGACGGAGATTTACCACGGACAGATTCCAGAAAGACGGGACAATTGGAGCACAAGGCCGCAACCTTTTACAAAGCTGTTCTTTATTAATCACCCCCTTACATGCTAGCTGCCCTCCACTGGCTTCCGAAACAGTTTAGTGGAGGGATCCAACAATTTATTTATTTTTTATTTCATAAAATTTATATACTTCTTGACTATAAAAAGGACCGTGGAGCAGGTGTTCACCCACCCACATCAACACAGGGCACAGGGAGGGGGAAAAAAAGAAAAGAAAGCCAAGGGTGCGCCTTGTGTTACATTCACTGCCGGCCGCCGGCCAATCTATCCATACAATGCTCCAAAGCCTGGGCCAGAAAAACATTACTGATCTGTTTCTTTGTTTGTATATAGTTTTTAGAAGTTACAGGTCAATGTATTTTGAAACAGTTTATGTCATTGTCTGTCAAGAGGGAACCTCTTGTGTCACCCTTTGTTTGATGACATAGATGCCAAATCCCTGGGGTGCTGGGTGACCAAATACCTGCAAAATTCCCCATGAAAGTGCCGGGCACCCATAAATTTCAGTGCCAGGGCCATGCACGCTGTATGGCACCCACAGTCCCAGGCCCAAGCTGGCACTGCTGTTTGATGATCTCGAACAGATCTCGTAGTTTCAGCCTTTATACCTAGCCTGAAACCTGCATTTCTAATTAAAACCACTCAGCAGACCATATTTCGTACCAATATAAGAGAGTCTGTTAGTATTTTATAAGAATTAGGACTTACCTTACTTCAATTGTGACCCTGCTCTGCTGCTTTGTTTTTGTTACTTTAGACACTTCACCCTCAGAAGACAATGTGCTCTGATGAGAACCATTTCTCATGCAGAGACAGGAAATTGCTACAGTCTGCTTTGAGAGGTTAGGAAAAAGAGGAAACAACTTTGCAGTTGCTGGTGGTGATGGGAGGAAACCATGGTTTCTTTTCTGCCCACATGATCTGGAGCTTAAATCTTTTCACACTAATCCTATTTGTACAGGGAAAGGGGCCATAAGATTCACCAAGTCTTTACCTTACCAAAGAGGGAACACTAAAAGGATTACTATAGGGTTGGAGAGTCAGTCTGGATGATATTTGTGGGGGTCTCTTCAAGGCCTGTGATGTTCTCTGTGAGAGGTTAAAATCTGTAAGAGAAAATCAGCTGAACCAGCCAGAGCAGTCTCTCTCTTAGGTGCTCTTACCAACATCTCAAAGAGTGAGTTACATTGCCATAGTGACAACTAAGTGATGGTCCTGTCCAGGAAGAGGACACATATTTCCTCACCTCCGTCATCTTAGGAAAACCATAAGAGACCAAGGGGATAGCTCTGTGTGGGAGAGTTTGGACTGATGCTTTAATCTGGAGAAACAGAGACATGTGTTTGTGCTTCCTTGGAAGCCTAATGGGGAAGTAAAGACACCACAGTTTCCACTGATCATCATTCCAAGGAAACCAAACCCTGGGAAAGCACAGGTACTCCTGGAGTCACTCCTTGAAGACTGCGATGTGTAATATAATAATAAGAATAATTTATTATTTGTACTCCGCCCATCTGGCTGAGTTTCCCCAGCCATGCTGGGTGGCTACCAACAAAGATTAAAAATACATTAAAATGTCACACATTAAAAACTTCCCTGAACAGGGCTGCCTTCAGATGTCTTCTAAATGTCAGGTAGTTGTTTATGTCTTTGACATCTGATGGGAGGGCATTCCACAGGGCGGGCACCACTACTGAGAAGGCTTTCTGCCTGGTTCCCTGTAGCTTTGCTTCTCGCAGTGAGGGAACCGCCAGAAAGCCCTCGGCGCTGGACGTCAGTGTCCGGGCAGAATGATGGGGGTGGAGACCCTCCTTCAGATATACTAGGCCGAGGCCGTTTAGGGCTTTAAAGGTCAACAGCAACACTTAGAATTGCGCTCGGAAACGTACTGGGAGCCAATGTCGGTCTTTCAAGACCAGTGTTATGTGGTCTTGGCAGCCACCCCCAGTCACCAGTCTAGCTGCCGCATTCTGGATTAGTTGTAGTTTCCAGGTCACCTTCAAAGGTAGCCCCACGTAGAGCGCATTGCAGTAGTCCAAGCGGGAGATAACTGGAGCATGCACCATTCTGGTGAGACAGTCCGCGGGCAGGTATGCTCTCAGCCTGCGTACCAGATGGAGCTGGTAGACAGCTGCCCTGGATACAGAATTGACCTGTGCCTCTATGGACAGCTGTGAGTCCAAAATGACACCTCAACAATATTCTAGGTTTAACTTACTTAGGGGGGAAACATTGCACAGCTTAGGCTCTGCAATGAGATTTATCATAGATTTATATACATATATGAAGCCCCTTTATTGCCACTGATTTTCACTTGACAATAAGTTTACTCTCAATTTTTTAACAAATCTGTTTCTCAGAAGAGATTATTTCATACCTGGCTGACAAATGAACATATCCTCCTTGACCACAATCCAAGACAGACTTGGGTGTGTTTAATACCATTAGAATCAATAGGTGGCATTCACCTACATTTTTTGTGCCAGTGCAAGGGAATTTCCCTCCTCTCCTCTGCCCCACACCATCTCCAAATGTGCTCTGGAGGGCAAATTTAGGGGGTGCATAGGAAGAAAGAGAGAGGGAGAAAGTTTCTTTGCACAAGGAAAAACCTTTGAGTTGACAATCTGAATAAGATAATTGCATCTTCTGCTTCTTTAACAGTGTCTTGGTTTGTGGATTTGGGCAGAGGTGTCTCATTTCTGCTTAACAGAAGCTTAACAAAATTCCTCCCAACATTTCATGTTGCATGAAAGCAGAAGCTGCTATTTACCACATTTTCCATTACATCTGGCTTTGGAAATGAGAAACGAAACTCTGAATCAAAAAGGTCTTTCAGTGGCACAGGATATTGCAGGGGAGGGTTTCTGTTCCATCTGCTGCACCTCTCCCAATTTTTCCTTTCTTGGAGGTTTTAAAGCAGAGGTTGGATGGTCATCTGATATGAAAGCTTTAGTTGAGATTCCTGCATTGCAGGGGGTTGTACTAGAGGACCCTTGGAGTTCCACCCAACTCATTCCATGATTCTGCTACTTAGGCTTGCCTGACTCATCCTTGATTTGCAAGATACAAGGCATAAACCATTTGCTGTAGTAGATTAGAAGCAATTATCTACCCAGTTTTGACACATTGTCAATGTATGACTTCAGGTAAACTCATCGACCCATTTGCCTTGGTAAAAGCGGAAGCTTGATTTGTACATTAGTCAATACCTTTGTCTGTCTAATCAATGAATCTGTCTAATGAGGATAAGGAAAAGCATTGAAAAGCGAGCACAGCCTCTGGGCAAAAGTATTGATACTGGGATGGAGACCAAAAAGGATTACCAATCTTACAAAGACAGGCTTGGAGACAGAGCCTAGGAGGGGCGAAAGAACAGAACAAAGTGCAGGGCAGGGAGAAGGCCAAAGCTCTAAATTTTGGTTTCTATTTCTCATTTTTCTCCTCTTAAGCTTAGCTCTCCACACCTGATTCAGGGTCTTTCTCTCTCTCCTAATTTATACATTTTCTATGTGGGTTGGCCTAATTCACATGTTTTCGCAAAGCATATTTTCTCTGATGTTTATATTTTTCTTAATTGAATGCATTTTTCTATGTTACTTTCATAGGGACATAGGAAGCTGCTGTATACAGACTCAGACCCATTGATCCATCTAGCTCACTATTGTCTACACTGACTGCGAACTGATCTCCAGGGTTACTTGAATGGATCTCTTCCAGCCCTACCTGGAGAAGCCAGGAATTGAACCTGGGATTTTCTACATGAAAGGCAGATGCTCTGCCACTGAGCTATGGCCCTTCCCAAGAGCTATTCCACTGCCCTTGCCAATTTTCAGAAATATATGCATTTTTATGCACTCTTTACATTTGCTTATTCATTTTTGTGCATATTACTTGGCTGGAAAAGTGCACTGCAAAATTCAGAGAAGTGTGAATCTTGAAGGATGGCTGGGTTTCAGTTTGCACATTTTGGAAAGTACAAATTAGGTAGATTCACATTAAAATGCAAACTGAATCAAATTTCCGATCTTCTGGAGAACACCATGTTGGCTATCCCAGACTTGTGCAAAATTCACAGAGTAATGCATACCGATAAATTGATCACCCTGCGATGATTCAAACACAATAGTTCCCAGTCTCACTTTCCCAAGAGATACTCAACTTTTGATTGGCATATATGTTGCAAGCCACGTATGATTCATGACTCCATGATTCATGACTGTGTATTTATACTATATATTTAGCATCACAATGACATGTAGCTGACTGTATACATCTGTAATTTAAAATAATGAGCTTAGGCTTCAACATTCAACAGCTGGAATGTACATCAATTAGCAGAAGCATTGCATAAAACAAAACAAAAACAAACCATCAAGCCTTGATCTGTTATGTTTTAATTTATTTTTGCCTGAATACAAATCAATGAATGAATCAACAAACACTGTAGTGGTGAACTCAGAGCAGAGTCAATACATTTATACCATAACAAATAAATAATGTGAATATAATACATTAAGATTGTTGCAAATTCCCACGCCATGGAGAAACCTGGTTGGCTTATGGAGTACGTGTTTGTGTACTCACATAGCTAATGAAAAGAAACCAGGTTGCATCAGATTAACCAAATCTTGATGTTTAAGCTCACAATGAATATGGTTCTACTTTTCTGTGCTGGCTCCATGTTTTGGGGATCTCTAGTGCAAGATGCTTGGTGGGTGTGTTGAATTTTTCAATTCTCAAATTCTGAACATGTGGGGTACTAAGAGGTTGTAACATGACTTGGGAATTCAAAATATATTTGGGTTAAATTCACATGATTTAGTTTGCATGGTAAATAAAATGTGTGTAACATTGCAAAGAAATCATTAAAAATGATTGCCACGTACTTGCAGTTATATTACAGTATATATATTTATTTTATCTATATAGTATACATATTTTATATTTCCTGACACTTTCTGAAGGTAAAACTAAAATTCTTTGGTTTCCCCAGTTTATAGACCAGTGGGAGGGGTTGAGACCTTTAGAACAGTAGTATACACTTGTTCACACTAATATTTTTTGAGAGGGGGGATTCCCATCATCTCCCTAAAAGAGAAAACAGGCTTACTTCCAAGTAAATGTGCACAGGATCAAGCTATTGTTAGGATATTTCCGTTCCACCTTAAAAGGGAGCAGGCTTTGTGAGTCAGAGCAGGCATGTCCTGTTCACAGGATTTTTATGTTTGCTATTGCTTTTGTTTTTCTCTCTGTGTCGTAGACACTAAAGCAGGCAGTCATGTTTTTCTGTGTTCTGATCAACGCTGAATAAACTTGTAAATAATGCTCTCCTGAGTGCGACTTTGGCTGTGCATTATCTGCTGATAGAGTGTGCATGAGCTCTGGAATGTGGCAAGCTATTTCTAGAAACTCATGTCACTAATTGTTGATACTGCGTGACTACGGGAGATCGATGGATCGTCCGGCAGCCGGCTTGGGGGCCATGATGGACTTTGTCTCCCTGGCAGTATCCCAACAGCTATAATCCTATGCACACTTCCTTAGAGAGCAAGCCCCACTGAACTCAAGCCTTCTTTTAACGTTACCAGGACTAGGGCTAGGGAGACCTGACCTGAAATCACACAGGTCACGAAGCTCAAGTCCTTTCTCAGGCTAGTTAGCCCAATCCCACCTCACAGAATTGTTGGGAGAAGACTGGAGGGCAGTGGTGGTAGGTGTGTGCGCACGTGCAGAAAAGAAAAGAACCCAGAGCTTCTTATTTGCATTTCAGTCATTCATTTTATTGCCATTTATACTGATGTAGTTTCAAACGGGATGAGGGGCGTCACGTGTTGAGATTCCGGCATTGCAAGGAGTAGGGCCCCTTGCAACTCCACAATTTTAGAATTCACTGCCCCAACTCCCCATCTCGTCCTCACAACAACCCTGCGAGGTAGGTGGAAGCTGACAGCTTCTTTGAGGAAGGGCGAAACACTACACAAGGGTAAGCAAAGACAAATCTCCGTGGGCTGCTAGGCAGCCAAAAAAGAACCTACAGCGCTCAAGCCTCCTCCTTGCAGCAACCCCCCCCCAAAAAAAACTTCAAAAGCCACCCAGCATCGACGAGACAGTCCTCGTCACGTGACTGCAATGACGCGGCGGGAACGTCATCGGCGGTGACTGGGGGCAGCCGCGGCGGCCGAGAATGGGATTCCGCGGTATGCGCGAAAAACCTCCCTTCTCTTTCCGCAGAACTACAACAACGGCGACGCAGCCGAAGTCAGGTGACCTCGCGGCACGTGACCGTGACCGTGCTCGGGGGAGTGGAGGCCTCGCGCCGTGGCTGACAGGATTTATGACAGGAGCCGGGAGGCGGCAGAGCATCCCTGAGGCGACGCGGCTGCTCCTTCGCGCACAGGCTGGAAGCGCGGCAGCCCCGCCGGCCGGACGTTCATTCATTCATTCGTTCCACCGGCGAGGCTCGTCCCGTCCCGCCCTGTCCCCGGCTCAGCGCAGCGTGCGAGGATGACCTGGCGGCTGTGGGGCTTCGCGCTGCTGGGCTGCAGCCTGGCCTCGGCCAGCGGCGTTTACCGGCTGGACGACGCGGTGGGGCTCGCCTCGGAGTTCGACGGCATCGGCGCCCTCAGCGGAGGCGGGGTAGGTTGAGCGGCCGCTACCCCCGGGGGAAGGTGGGGAGGTGTCTGTAGGCGCCTCAACCCGGTCCATGAGGGTCCGCGCGCGGGAAATGCTTGTGTGTGTGCGTGTTGAGCATCCTATAGAACTGCAGCGTTGGAAGGGACCCCCAAGGGTCATCCAGCACAATATAATAATAATAATAATAATAATAATAATAATTTACTTATACCCCGCCCAGCTGGCTGGGTTTCCCCAGCCACTCTGGACGGCTTCCAACAGAATACAGTGGTACCTCGGGATACATACGCTTCAGGTTACAGACTCCGTTAACCCAGAAATAGTGCTTCAGGTTAAGAACTTTGCTTCAGGATGAGAACAGGATGAGAACAGAAATCGTGCTCCGGCAGTGTGGCAGCAGCAGCAGGCCCCATTAGCCAACGTGGTGCTTCAGGTTAAGAACAGTTTCAGGTTAAGAACGGACCTCCGGAACGAGGTACTTAACCTGAGGTACCACTGTATTAAAATACAATAATCTATTAAACATTAAAAGCTTCCCTAAACAGGGCTGCCCCTTGCAGTGCAGGAATCTCAGCCATAAAGCATCCAGGGCAGCTGGCCCACCCAACGTCTGCTTAAAACCGTTCCCTGTGTATCTGTTTGCTTTGTAACACAACCCCAACCTCGAATAAAAACTAATTCAAACAAAAACACCCTCTGTGCAAGGAGGGAGATGGTTACGCAGTCGAACAGCTCTTCTGGTCAGGAAGTTCTTCCTGATGTTTAGTCGGGAGGGTTATTGTTCCAGTCCGTTGCTACATTACACATTTTTGTTTTTTGGTTTTATATTATGAACCGCTTTGTGATCCTCGGGCGATGGGCGGTATATAAATTTAATAATAACTAATTAACAGAGGTGTACTTAGGGGGTTGGTGAAACTGGCCTCTGGTTCGGGGTGCAAGCCCAGGTGTGTGTGTGTGTGTGTGTGTGTGCGCAACAAACACCTATCAGATTATGGAGTGTATGATTTTTACATTTTACAGTATAGAGATATAAACAGTAACTCCAGAATTTTTCTTTTTTTCTCTTCTAGGCTACTTCCCGGCTTTTGGTGAATTACCCAGAACCTTATCGCTCTCAGATTTTGGATTATCTTTTTAAGGTAAGTGCGACATTGCTGTTCTTGTAGACTTTGACCTAGGGCAGTCATTGAATCAACCTCTTCTTGACCTTTTTTATTTCTTTTAAGAAATGTTTTAGCCGTCCAGCCTTGTTAGCTATCCTAGGGTGTGTTGCATTATAAAACATCACATAAAAATAGTCGAACCAGAGCACATAAAATGCATCATCAAAATTCCATATAGGTGTTTCTATCTTGGGTGTCAACTGACTTTCTCAACCTCTCCAAGTCGTTGGAACAAATATGTCTTTAGTTGGCACTAAAAAGAAAGTAAGGCGGATCTCAGCCATACTTGTGAGGAAGGGTGTTTCATAACTGACGTGGCACTTAGTGCTCTGGCAGCTACATTCTGGACTGCCTTCAGGAGCTGCTCCATCTGTTAATGTGCTGACAGGTATTCTTTACTGTACTTATATTTTTATAAAACCTGTATGCAGTGCTTGATATCATGACCCAAACCTTATCAGTGCATTAATATCAACTTGCATTTTTTTTTGCCATGGTGTATGCTTGATGTTTGCTTTATACATCTGGCAAATAAGATATAAGAATTTGAGCTAGGATGTTTTTCTTATTCTCACTTCCGTTTACTGTTGTGTTTATTGGCATTGATAATACTAGTCAAATAGCTTGTGGAAGCTTAGTGGCTGCTTAACTGTGACAAAGTGCTGTAAATTCATGTTGCAGTTGGGCTTGTATTTTGCTACAAAGCCATAGTACTTCGCACAAAACAGTCTATGGTCTCAATGTTATTGTTGATGACTTGGAGTGAAATTCAAATTTCTGCATCCTGTGTACCCCCCCCCCCACTCCTGCCCTGTAGAGTTCCCCCATCAGGTCAGGCTAGCCCTGTTGTTGATGCTGGAGAATAAATTTCTAAGTAAGAGGTTTACAAAAAAAACCAAGGTCTTTAACATTTTCTCAATCAGATTGGCAGGGGCAGAATTACTTCACACACACACACACACACACAATAGAGTTTATACCAGCCCCTCCCCAGCCAAGCGCTGGGCTCAGAGCGGCTTACAAGCACACACACAAACAGTTAAATGATTACAACTTAAACATAATTAGTAATACAACATTAAAATATTGAAACATTAAAAATATTAAAATGTAGCTCATCGCAGGAGAGAAGTGAAAAGAAAAAGAAAGAGGGAGGGAATCAAATTGGCTCCAAGTCAAAGGCCAGGTGGAACAACTCTGTCTTACAGGCCCTGCGGAAAGAAATCAGATCCTGCAGGGCCCTGGTCTCATGAGGCAGAGTGTTCCACCAGACTGGAGCCAGAGCCAGGTGCTCTGGCCCTGGCTGCCAATCTAACTTCCTTAGGTCCGACCACTAGGGTGTTGCTATTTATGGACCTTGGAGGCCCTCCAGTGGGGCATACCCGAGAGGCGGTCCATAGGTATGAGGGTCCTGGGGTCGTAAAGGGCTTAAGGTCAAAAGCAGCACCTAAATCTGATCCTGTACTCCACCGGGAGCCAGTGCAGCTTGAAAAGCACTGGGTGAATATGCTCCTATGGCAGAGACCCAGTGAGGAGCCTCGCTGCAGCATTCTGCACCCGGCCATTCTTGGACAGCCTGCGTGGCAGCCCGCGTAGAGCCGAATTACAGTAATCAGCCTGGAGATGACAGTCGCATGGATCACTGTGGCCAGGTCGGCGGGAAACGTAAGTGGGACCAACTGCTTGGATGCGGTGAAGGTGGAAAAATGTCGCCTTGGCTGTTGCTATAACTTGCGCCTCCATGGAAAGGGAGGCATCAAGGATTACACCCAAACTCTTAACGGAGGCAATGGCACTAATTGGGCCCCCGCAAGAGAAGGGAGTTGGTCCCTCATCCCCATGCCATCCCGACCCAGCCATAGGACCTCTGTCTTCGAAGGATTTAGTTTCAGTCGGCTCCCACGAAACCATCCAGCCACAGCTTCCAAGCATCTGGTCAGTGTGTTCGGGGCCGAGTCGGTGTGGCCAACCATCAGCAGATAGAGCTGAGTGTCATCAGCATATTGGTGACAACCCAGCCCAAAGCTCTGGATAATCTGGGCAAGGGGGCGCATAAAGATGTTAAAAAGCATTGGGGAAAGGATTGCACCCTGCGGCACTCCACACACCAAGGAGTGGCGCGACGACATTTCCCTCCCTAGTGCCACCCTCTGTCCCCGACCAGAGATAAAAGAGCACAGCCAGTTACGGGCTATGCCCTGTATCCCCACGTCTGCGAGGCGGTGGTCCAGAAGATCATGATCGACCATGTCAAAGGCTGCTGACAAATCTAAAAGGATCACCAGTCCTGACCCGCTTTGATCCAGCTGTCTACGGAGATCGTCTGTTAGGGCAACCAGATCCGTCTCGGTCCCAAAACCAGGACAGAAACCGGACTGAAACGGATCTAAAGCCGATGTTTCCTCCAGAAACCTACCAAGCTGTTCAGCAACCGCTCTCTCAATTACCTTACCCAGATATGGAAGATTTGAAACTGGGCGGTAATTGGATAGGTCTAAGGGATCTAATGAAGTTTTCTTTAAGAGTGGACATACCACTGCTTCCTTCAGTTCCCCTGGGAATGTCCCCGTGTCAAGGGACAAATTGATAATTTCAACCAGGGGGGTCCGCGCAACATCTGGACACTCCCTAATCAGCCAAGACGGGCACGGATCAAGGAGGCAGGTGGTGGGCCTACCAACTGGGAGGAATCTATCCACATCAGCAGGGAGTATTCGATCGAAATGGTCCAACACTGGACCTGAAGTCAGTCGAGGGGCCTCCAGTTCAGTCACTGTATCTAAATTGGCAGGGAGGTCACGGCGGAGCAACAGGACTTTCTCCGCAAAAAAGCTCGCGAATGCCTCACAGCTGTGGGTTGAATTTGTGCTTAAATTTGGTTGTCCTCCTAAGGACGTTATTGATCTAATTATTCTAAAAAGTTGTGCCGGGCGAGAGCTAGCGGATGCAATGGAAGCTGCAAAGTAAGATTTCTTAGCAGCTTTCATAGCCATCTCATAGGCTTTCATAAGCGTCCTATAAGATGTTCTTGAGGCTCTGTCATGAGTCCGTCGCCATACTCGCTCTAGCCGTCTGAAATCCCGCTTCATTTTCCGGAGCTCCTCAGTAAACCAAGGGGCCCGGTTTCGACGGGGTCGCAGAGGGCGCTTAGGCACGATCTCATCAATGGCTGCCAAGAGCCGGTTATTCCAGTCCTCAACAAGGTCATCTAATGAGTCGCCAGGAGGAGCAGGGTCCCGCAAGGCTTGTCGGAATCTATCAGGAGCCATCAGTTTTCGCGGATGAGCCCAAATAGGTTTGCCACCCGAGCAGGGGAGGAGCGGGAAGTCAATCTTGGCTTTCAGAGCGTAGTGATCAGACCATGGCATTTGAATCTCTTCCAAGAGGTTAAGACCTTTTTGGAGTTACTATGTGACACTGTTTACTATGTGAAGAAAGCCTGCAAGTTTCAAATCCATGGGATATGGCTATTTCTTTTCTTTTCTTTTCTTTTTTTTGCTTATTGATCCATTACTGGTGCTGGCTGGCTTCTTTGAGGGCTAACAGGATTTAACTGGAGCCAGGTCTCAGCCCTGCAAAGCATGAAGCAGCGTTGCAGGGGATTGGACTACATGACCCTTGAGATTCCTTTCAACTCTACTGTTCTACGATTCTATGTTTGTGCTTCTGTGAATATTTTTTTTAACATATTGAAGGCAATTATTTTTTGTAATTGGGATTACTGTTCTTTGAGGGAATCTAATAAGCTGCAAAATAATTGACCTTGCAGAAGAAGCTTCCTTGCAATATGCAAAATTTCGCATAACAATAGAAAATATATACATAAATATAAAGAAAGAAAGATGGAATGAGATAAAATGGGCAAAAAGTATTCTTCTGCTTTTGTTAATAAGGAATGCAATGATCCTGGCAAGGGCTCAGGGTAGTGTTGTGCGGTTCCTTTCAGCCTGGAGAAAGTACTGTGTGTTTCATAGCCTGTTTCCCGTTCCACTTAATTGTAGGAAGGTACAGTACATACAGCCAATATCACTGCCATGTTCTTTTCTCTTACTGGGATACAACTGTACGTGTCCCTGTAAAACAATTACAGAAGAGCCACAGGGCTCATTTTTGCAGCACACAGACAGGGGAAAGGCTGATGAAAGGTGAAGGCATAATAGGCTTCTGTACCAAGCTGCTTTGTAAAGATGTATTAAAATCCCTTTCCCTAGTGCTGGTGTTGCTGGGCGACTAGTTCCATTAGCACTGCAGAACTGGTCCTCTGTGGGATATTGACTGCCAGCGTCTCAAAGGCTCTGAAGCCTGACTTATGTGCAGTGTATGCTTGCACAGCCACTGTTTTGGCATATCATGTGCAAACACAATCTCTGTTTTCAATCAAAGAGGTAATGATTGTTGAGCATCATAGTAGGTGATAAGTCAGTACCACAGTCTTGACTGCAAATTATTTCCTATTTACATGATGCACTGTGATCCATGAATAGCATAAATGTTAACACTGCTTCCTCTTCTTTTTCCCCTGAAGCCAAATTTTGCTGCTGCTTTACAAATCCTCAAAGTAGAGATTGGCGGAGATGCACAGTCCACAGGTATGAGCTGTTGAGGAAAGAGATTTAACCACAAAGCGTTGTAATAATGCTGTAATTATGGGTTAGTTAGTTCTAAACATTGTCAACCAAGTTGCTCACCACGAGCTTTGCATGATATACTGATTGTGCCTCTTTACTAGGTTCTGGAAAACTGATTCTGTTATGGTTAGAACAAAATACTCAATAGTGGAGATTTTTCTCAAGCCCCTTGATGTGGATATAATTGCCCTTCCCCAGAGTTATGTTGATAATTTGATAAGCAGGGTGGGTGTAGTACCCCCACAGCTGATCTGTGTACCTGTGTTTTTGGGGTGTGTGAGAGTGTGTGGATTCACATGAACAAGCAGGCAGAGGGCCCTCTTGGTAATGGCACCCACCCTGTGGAACACCCTTTCATCAGATGTCAAACAGATAAATAACTATTTGACTTTTAGAAGACATCTGAAGGCAGGGAAATTTTTAATGGTTGATGCTTTATTGCATTTTTAATATTTTGTTAGGAGCCACCCCTAGTGGCTGGGGCGACCCAGTCAGATGGGTGGCACATTATTATTATTATCATTAATATTATTAAGATTGTTGTGTGTATGGCTTTTTGTTTTTGCAGGGTAGAGGGAACTGTTGTCTAGTGGGTTCCATATTAAGTTTGCGAATATCTCCTGAAAATGGGATGTCCTCTTGCTATAAGCATCTTTACTTTGCCGTAAATCCATTGATTTCATTAGCACTTATTTCCACGTAAGCTTATCAAGGTGCTGTTAAATGGGTTGTTGAACCGCAATGCCTGTCAGCCCCTGGAAGCATGGCCAATGGCCAGGGATGGTGGGAATTGTAGTTCAGCAGCATCTAGAGGGCCAAAGGTGACCCACACCTACAATGAGAGACAAGGGTGAGATCAGCATGTTCAGGGGACCTTCATTGTGGTGGGAGATGCTGAGGTGACCTGTGAGTTTGTTTATTTGTTTGTTCCTAGAGAAGAGGTGGGAAGCTGAGAGGTGTTGTGTGGGGAGGTGTGTTAAGAGAAAGGGATACCTTCACCTCCCAGTTACTGTACTGGTATCAACAAAGATCAGTGTTTTATTGAGTCGTATTTATGGTTTTATTGCATATTTTGGTTTTTTTATTTGCTGTATACTGCTTAGAGGTATTTTATATATTAGGTGGCATAGATATGGTCTTAGTAATATTATTATTGCTATATATGTAGCTGGAGGATGTTGAGGTTGACAGATGTAGCTATTAAGAATAGTTGTTGTTTTTGTCCATGGAGTTTTCTTGGCAGGGATACTGGATAGTTAGAATGGTGTTATTATTGTTCCATATTACATGAAGTTCTCAATCTAATGCAACTGGACATAGATCATAAACAGAATTTACAAGTTCGCCTTGTAAATGAGGCATGGATATCCTGGGCTGGCTAAGCACTGCATAAGCTGGATGGTACAGCTGATTTATATTTAGAACATTTAATTAGCATTGTTTTTCATTAGCATTATTTCAATGCAGAGTCATGAGTGGGTGAATGCCAAATGTCAGCTTATTATATCTTTGGACTTTATCAAAAATGGTTTCTATGATTTATGAAGAACCCCGCAACATAACATGGCGCCATCTGGGCACCACATTTCATCTACATTTCAGATTTTAGTATTTTTTGCCATCCTGTTTCATGTGCTTGTGATTCTCCAGCATATAAGCCTCAGAATAACCTGACTTAAAGTATAGCTTTCCACTCAGTAAGTTCTTACAACCTGTGATTACAGGATAGGCATTGGAATGTCTATAGAAGATCAGGTTTCTTAATGTAGGTGTATAAGTACAGGGAACTGCATTTGTTGTTAATCTCCTTCTTCCCTTGATGCTATCCAGGGTGCTAAAATTGGTGTAAGAATAACATTCCATGTCCAGTTTCATGATATACATATAGTTTACACGTGTTGAGAAAGGTATTAGATGTAGCAAAGGATGTGTAACACATTGCTGAGCTACAATTTTGTTTTCCTTCTGTAGATGGAACTGAACCATCCCACATGCACTATGAAGATGATGAAAATTATTTCCGGGGCTATGAATGGTGGCTGATGAAAGAAGCTAAAAAGAGAAACCCTAATATTAAATTGATTGGTAAGACCTGCAGACCTGTAAGGTGTGACGTTTTGTCCTTCTTACCCTGTAATTTGAGAGTACCTTTGTGATTCATTTTAAACCATTCTGTTCCAATGTAACGTGCAGCATGCTTTAAATAATATTGATTTACTCAGCTTGGAGTGTGTGTGTTGTGTGTGAGAGAGAGGCTGGGTTTGCACAACTTTGCAAGCCCAAACTGTGGCTTACCAGGACCATATGAATTTGCAAGCTCTCAGAGGGGAGCTGATGCTTTTCAGGCCTATGCTGTCCTGAAGTTAGCCAGTGTTTGGCTTTGCATGTCATTCAAACCCAGGCTGGTGGTTATTCTCTTTACTCACTAGCTATGAGCTGCTACCAAGAAAAAAACCATAGGTGGTGGCGGGGGGTGGGGGTGGGGGTGGAGAGAAAAGAAGGCATCCTCTGCTGTTGTTACTGCTTATATAGGAATGAGTTGGTGGACAGATGGAGCGATTTTGACCTGTCAGGCTTTATTTATTAATTCCTTTAAAAAAGAAAGAAGCCTTTTACATAATGATTAAACTGTAAACATTTTGCTTCTCCCCAAATACCCCCCTTCACTAAAAATTTGGTTTTGGTCAGCACCCCATGATTAACACACACTTAAGGGATTTTGTAGTTTGACTCCCCCGCACCATTTCCAGATCATTTCTGTTATATAAACGTATAATAAAATGCTCTTAAATTTGAAACGGAAGATTTGGGGATGTATTGTGATGGGAGCATAGGGTTAAGAGAACATTATGATTTTCATATAAAAACTCCAATATACCACATGCTTTGATACCAAAATTACCATTGCAATTGATAAGGAAACCTTATTGAATAAATTCAGCCTCTTTGTGAAAATACAATATGCAGGAACCTGTAACACTTCAGGAAAATTAAATTGTGATGTTGGTTGGAGACTGAGGCGAAGCCACAGGAACAAGCAGTGCATTGTATAGTCTCTTGTAGGGTGTCCCAAAGAAAATCAGCATAACCTGGAAGGCTGACAACAAATGAGGAAGACTAGATGCCTGGAGCTGTTGTTTGCCTCTTTTGATAGCCTTCTACTCATAATGTCACAAATGCCTTCCCATGACAGAGTTAGGCAACACATATTTCCCATGCATTGTAGTATCTTCCTCTTTTAGGAGTGCCCGTTGCAACGGCATGCTGCCTCACCTTCCTGTTTTGGCATTTCTTTGCCCACACAATCAACATGTCATTTCCTGAGTGCTTGATTTGTTTTTCCCACTCTGTAGATGTTTCATGGAAAATACATTGGTTCTGAGAATGTGCACACTCAGAATATGAAGGAAGCCCAGGACCAGCCCGAAGCAGTGCTGGTCACCTGACTGTAATTGTTCCTTCTGATAACTCCATGAGGTGTACCACTGGGTGAAAAGCACTGTTCTGTGCCATACAGTAAAGGAGGGCCTGATAGCAAAAAGAGTGCAGTTTGGACTGGCTGAGCCTTTGAGTGTTTGTTGGTTGCACCGTTTCTCCGCAGGCACTTAAGCCCACAGCTTTGCCGGAGGAAGAGAGGGAAGGCCCAGTAGTGGGGGGTATTGTTTGTCGGCACACATTTCTGGAGAGAATGAAAAGAGAATTTATAGTTATATTTGTGGGGTACCGTGGAAATATTGAATCAAAACGTACCAACGAAAGAAAATTGATGTTTAGTGCTGCCTGATCGCCAAACCATGGTTTGGTTAGTTACCTGGGCATGTGTGCTTCTCTTCTCCCCTCTACCTCATCTCTCATGTGGACATGCCCTAAGAGCCAATAGTTATTAACAATAGTGCAGATACAGTGGTACCTCTGGATGCAAACGGGAGCCCCGTTCGCATCCAGAAGCAAACGCAACCCGTGTCCGCGCGTCTGCACGTGCGCGGGTTGCAATTTGCTGCTTCCGCGCATGCGCATGACGTCATTTTGACCGTCTGCGCATGTGCGAGTGGCGAAACCCGGAAGTAACACACTCCGTTAGTTCTGGGTCGCCGCAGTGTGCATCCCGAAAATACTTATCCCGAAGCTACTTCAACCCAAGGTATGACTGTATTCTAGTTAGCCCAAACCAGTTTCCCTACCTGCTTCTAGCCATGATTGTTAGACTGGGCTTGGCATTAGCACCCCCATAAATGTAACTTGCTTTTTAATCTCCTTGGTTGCCAGCCAGACAGCAGGCTAAACTCAGGGGGCTGGTACTGGTGTGCAAAGCCTTACATAGATTGGGACACGGATACCTAGCCGATAATTTCACCCCTTTACACCCAGTTGAGCACTGTACTCTGCAGGAGAGGGCCTCCCTCAGACATCATCTCATCAGGAGGTCCATTTTGTTCTGCTGTTTGCATCCATGGGCTTTGTGAGACAATGGAGGAGTGCGCCTTTTGGGGGTGAGGTCAAGCTGTTGGACTGTTGCAGCGCCTGCTGTACAATGCTGAACTAATGCCTTTTGTTTGGAGGCATCTACCCTTTGGAACTCCCACCAGCTATATATCAAGCAGACGCTGCTGTCTTTTTGGCACCTGTTGAAGACCTCCCTTTTCCTGCAAGCATTTTAAGTGGAGATGATGATGATGATAATAATAATAACAAAAATTATTATTATTATTATTATTAATTTCTACCCCACACATCTGGCTGGGTTTCCCCAGCCACTCTGGGCAGCTTTCAACAGAACATTAAAAACAGAATAAAACTTCAAACATTAAAAACTTCCCTGAACAGGGCTGCCTTTGAAAAGTCGGATAGTTGCTTATTTCCTTGACATCTTCTAGGAGGGCGTTCCACAGAGCGGACGCCACTACTGAGAAGACCCTCTGCCTGGTTCCCTGTAACATCACTTCTTGAATGAGGGAACTGCCAGAAGGCCCTCGGTGCTGGACCTCAGTGTCTGGGCTGAACGTTGGGGGTGGAGATGCTCCTTCAGAGATCTTTGTTCCAATCTTTCTCTGTTTTGAATGTTTTTATTAATGCAGTCATCGATCGTTAATTGCTTGGGGGTGGTTCATGGGGAGCTATTCATAAAGGAAATACAGTGGTACCTCAGGTTACAGACGCTTCAGGTTACATACGCTTCAGGTTACAGACTCCGCTAACCCAGAAATAGTACCTCGGGTTAAGAACTTTGCTTCAGGATGAGAACAGAAATTGTGCTCCGGCGGCGCAGCAGCAGCAGGAGGCCCCATTAGCTAAAGTGGTGCTTTAGGTTAAGAACAGTTTCAGGTTAAGAACGGACCTCTGCAACGAATTAAGTACTTAACACGAGGTACCACTGTAAAATAATAAATAATGACAGCAAGCTCTGAAATTGAAAATTTAGGGGGGAAGTGCCTTTTCAAGATGGTAGGTATTATGCTCCCATGGCCAAAGAAGTAGGAAGCTTTCTGTATAATTTCTAAAAACCAGAACTGAGTGGTGCCTCACTGGTTTCAAGAGCAAAGAAATGTGTGGATTGTTCTGTAGTGTGAGCACACCCACAATGCCTCTCCTGCAGGGTAGGTTGAAGTTTGAACTGTCCTATTTTGAGAATAGGGGCTGTGTGCTAAGCTTTTCCGTTGTATTAATTTTATGCTTGTTTTTTTCCTTCTCTTTACAGGGTTGCCCTGGGCTTTTCCAGGATGGGTTGGGAGGGGTGAGAACTGGCCCTATGATTATCCGGATGTCACTGCTTATTATATTGTGTCCTGGATTATAGGCGCTAAAAGATTTCATGATTTGGACATTGACTACATTGGGGTTAGTAAAGGAATTCCTCTTTAAATACTTTTGAACATGATTCATGTTAGAGATTCCAAAGTCATCTAATACAAGTCTGCTTCGACCATTTTCCTGAAAAAAATCCACTGGGTTACTTCACACCCCTCCCCTCAATTATTAAAATACTGTAATGATTAGGAAACATTGGTGCGCACACTTTAGGCTTATGAGATTTGCCTTGTTTTTTTGTCCTAGAACCTCAAGATCCACCAGTCAGAGCCTGGTACAAAAGACATACGTTTCCTTTGTGTACACATTTATACACAAACACACCCATCCTTTTTCCTACCTGTAACACTTGGAGAAGGTGCTGCAATTAAACAATTCTGAGCCCAGGCATTTGTTTTTACTACCAGAACTGCATTGAACTTAAGTTCCTTCCCTCCACCCCACCCCAATTTTCAGTCCTCCTTCTCCTGCTTTCCTCATTTCTGTTGTTGTTGTTGTTGTTGTTGAACAGTTGGTAGTCAGAATTTGTTGCTCATCTACTTTTAATCACCCAGAGATTTACTAGTAGAGATTGCAGATCTTCCTTTAGGCCATCCACCACTGCTTGCCTTTCGTATCTGTGTGCATTATTACCACACGTTGGGCCAGGACAGAGAGCGTAGCTTCCAGTGCAGATCCTTAAGTCTGGACAGTTTCTTCTGCAGTATATCATACCTAGAGAAACCAGAGGCTTCATAAGTACTAGGAGCAAAACCTTAACCTGGTTCATGTGTAGCGCCTTTTGCCCTTCACGCTTAAGGTCAGCAAGCTCAGGCAGGGCATGCCAGGAATTGGATTTGAGTGTGTCTTCTCTTACCTTTGTATCACTTCTATTTTTTTTATTTTGGTATTTTTAGATCTGGAATGAACGGTCTTTTAGCAGCAAATATATCAAGGTAGGTCAACTGATCAATTGACATCCATTTTTTAAATAATGCATTCTTAGCATGTATAACATCGAACTTTTAGCAGAATTCATCTAAGTTGTTGTACTAGTGCAACAGGATCTCTCCCTATGCATCTTCTCCCAATTTTGCTTGGACACATCAGAACAGCACAGCTGGTGTGTCTTGTGTGTGCGTCTATGTGTGGAGAAGAGGGCAGAATGTCTGCACTGAAGCTTACCTTTATCAGCTTACCTACAGTTCTAGCCTTTTTTGTTTTTGTTCTGTTGCTAATGAGTGGCAAAGCTTCCTAAGGCAGTTTTAATGGATAAAGATGCATAGAAAATGGCTGCAATCCAAACATGCCCAGCTGATGCCTCTCAAATGCTTTGGACTACAATTCCCATAATCCCTGGCTGCTGGCCATGTTGATTGGAGCTGATGGGAATTGTACTCCAATACATCGAGAGGATGTCCTCTTGGGGAACACTGGGCTAGAGGGTCTCTAGATTCTCAGTGTTGGTTTTATTTTTTCTTCAGTGTCTGGCTGATACTATTGTTAACCATAGTCTTCAGTTAACCATAGTCTCCCATTCCCCCTGAACTGGGAAACAAGCCACGGTTTCGTGGAAACAAGCCATGAAACCATGGTTTAAACCTTCTACTTGCTCAGCCGTTGCATACAATGCATAGTGTTTATTGACTAAGAGTGTCTTGCTATGCATGACAAATTTAAATGAACCCCATTTTTGAAGACATGAAATGCTACTACTGTTATAATGTAGAAGGGATATGTTAAAAGTGTATATTTTGTGTGGATATCTGGTAGAAAGGGACTGCAGTGAAAGCTGTAAGTGACTGAATGCACACGTGCCCGACCTGAACTGCGCTAGGAAAACTAGCATGGTTTAATTTGTCATTTACAGATGTGTCTCTTAAGCTAACTTGTCTCACTGCTACAGATGTATCTTTTAGTGAATATTCCTCCATTTCTGTGAAGTAAGGTTTGTCAGCAGCACTAATAGGCCAAGAACTGAAAGGTGGGAGGAACCACTTACTCTCCAGACATTGTGGACTATAAATCCCATCAGTTCTGACCATGACCCAATGCCCGTGCTAGCTGGGGCTGATGGGAGCTGGAGTCCAAGAGTATCTGGAGGGCCACTGGCTGCCCAACCTTGTTTTATATCCGACATAGTGCCCTCCAAGACAACCCCATGTCTACTCAAAAATAAGTTCCATTGACTTCAGTGGAGCTTATTCCCTGAGAAGTATATAGGATGACAGTCTTATAGCAATGAAAAATGTTTTCTCTTTCTGATGTTATCAACTTACTCTCTTTTTAAAAACATTCATGGGATGCACTTTAGTTAAAGTTCAATTACAGTCAGTTACTAAGATGTGGCGGTATTATTAGTCCGCTTTATTAAATGTAGGATAATGGACATAATTCATGGGAAGTCTTATCTGTATGAGACAGAAATATTTCTTGAAGATTATCATCTTTTCTGTATGTGTAGAGTGGTTTATGTTGTATGAATGATTTCTGCATTGCATAAAAAGGGGAGATTGCAAGATTAACAATGAAGGAAATAATAGGGGTTTTAAAATGGAATTTTTTACTGATTCAGGCCAGATCATCTTCTCCCTCCCCTCCCCTTGTGAAGACCAAATTTGGCAGGTGGGGGGGGGGCTGCTCACCTCTCAGTCACCTGACATCACAATGATGTCAGTTACCCCTTCCACTCTGCACCATTTGGAATCATACAATGCAGGCAAATTCACAGCCCACGAAGTACCTTTCAAAGCACTACTCAAGACCTGACAATTGACTGATTGTCTGGTCTTGTGAAGTCTATTGCAAAGCATTCTGCAAGACCCCATGATGGAGCGCTTTGTAGATGGTTTTGCAGACACCACATATTGGCAGCCCCTGCAAACCTATTTCAGCTGAGCAAGGTGTTTCCTTTCATCTGTGGGGCAGGTAGATGTGGCCAAATGGGGAGACCTGGTGGGCCTAATCAGGTCTGTGGGTTGGAGGTTTCGCACCCCTGTTTTAAAACATGGTATTAGAAGCTGGCTGCTAAGTGAATGTAGGATGGAGTTCTCAAACACTTAATTGACTTCTGAGTTCAGCGTGTCATGCCTGTTTAATGATAAGAATGGAGAGCTGCCAAGGATTTTCAAATCTCCAGCGTTTCTGCTTTCTCGGTCATTAACAATTCAGTTATTTTATCTTAGAATTCTTACATTATTTAAATTGGACGATGAGGTGCCTTAATGGGTGAGATTCAACAAATGAGTCCCGTCTATTTGTTCAATGGGGTTTCCCTGCTCTGTGCATGTCCTGAAATTGGCTTGGGAGAACATCCAGAACAGTGTGTTGGAGGTGGCAGGTGTATCACCAGATGTACGGGAGTTAGCTGTGCCTGATAGGTGGCTAAAAAAGTGAATCTGTACACCTGCCAAGGCACTCCCTTTAAGTTGCAGCCCTGGAAGTCCTTGTTTTAACAACAGGTTCCAGGATTAAGAACTGGTAATACATGAATAACTTGGGGAACTGGGAGCTTTGGAGCACAATTTAAAGCAGTAGTTATCCAAATGTTGAAAGTACATTTCATGTACATATCAGAAAGGGGCCAGGAAGAGAGAAAGCTCTCAGGTAAGGGTGTTCAGGATTCCATTTGAGAACTGTGACACTCGGGCAGATTAACTGTGTGTGTAGAAGCCCAGCTCTTCCATCATTTCACAGCCCTCGCACTTTAATTTGATCTGTTAAGATAATGTCACACTCTCTCCATTGATGAAAGCTGTGTTATCTGTCAAGTAATGCTATCTGTTATCAAGGTACTCCGCAAAACCATGGACAGAGTGGGTTTAAGGAAGGTTGGCATCATTGCTGCGGATGGTGAATGGGACATTGCAAATGAAATGCTAGTTGATCCCTATCTTAATGACTCGGTTGAGATAGTAGGGTAAGTGTGGAAGCCTTGGGTAATAATAATAATAATTTTATTATTTATACCCCACCTATCTGGTGATGGTGATTCCTTTGTGCCTTTGATCACAGTTCCATATGAACTGAAGAAAGTTTGGATCCACGTTTGACCATTAACTGAAGGAAATTTGGATCCAAGCCTGGCCATTTCTGCATCTCATACTTGAGCATAAAGTCCTTACTGCATGGGGCTATGCTGCCCCTTTTGCCACCTCTGCTCCTGTGCTTGACGTTGTGCATTTAGTGCAACCTGTCTAGTGTCTCTCTGCCTCTGCTTATTTTGGTGTCTGCATCCTTCTTTATATATCTTCTACAGTCTTTTCAGTGGTGGTAGTGTGGTTTTGGAATACTCTCATTGTAGAAATCCTTCAGGCTCCCTCTCTGACCTTTCTTTTCTCTGAGCTGAAAACTTCACTTTCAACATGGTTTTAATATTTAAAGCAGTAATATTTTACTGCTTTACTGTATTGTTGCTGTATTGTTACTCTTTTCAGATTTCCTGATTTTTAATTTCATTTGTAGATGTCCTTTTAATGTGTGACTTTCCCTTGTTACATATGTATTCCCTTGTTACATATGTGTTCCATATTTCTTAGCTGTGAAATTCTTCTAGATGCTCCATGGGAGGAGGAGCAGGGTATCCATTTCCTACATTTATTTATTAATCAAATTTGTACCCAGCCCTTCCTCCTGAAGAAACCTAGGAACCTAGCAAACAACATGCCGTGAAACACTTTAAAAACACCTTTAAAGAACTCCCATTCAAAGCTGAACTCAAAGGCATTTTGAAAGAGGAAGGTCTTCAGTAGGTGCTGAAAAAGACAACACCTGTTTAATATTCAAATTCATGTCATATACAGAAAATTTATGGCCATTTGGACATTACTAGTGACAGTCTACGCTTAAGATGCCTTTCCAACATGGAAATCCTCGTTTTAAAAAAGGATCGCCCAATATATTGACACATGTTCAGACACTGTCGCCCTTGGGTTTGTGATATTTGCTATGTTTGTAAAATAAGCTTATGGAAGTGCCATCATTCCCTCTGTTTCTGATATTCGGGTATGAACACAATTGTTAGGTAGCCTAAACAACCCAACCCACGCATAAGAGGGAGGTATCAGCAGGTTTGTGGAGGAACACTATAATCTGCTGAAGTAGTAAGCAAGAACCTTAAGGAATACGCGGGGGATAACCCCACAAAGCAGCACAGTGGCAGTGGCAGAGCTAGCTGCTCGGGCACCCAGAGCAGCGCACATGCTGTGCACCTGGGGGTAGGGCGATTGTGCCCAGGGCATTGCGGCCCGGCCGGGGTGTGTGTGTGATTGGCACAGCCGCGATCGCCCCTGCCTCCCTGCCCCCCCACGCCCCTGCACAGTGACCACTGAGCATGCTCTGTGGAATACACAACAATATTTTGCGGCAGCTCTTACTTTTGTATTTTTAAAAGCCATGTATATCTCTTGGGAGGAAATTAGAGAAATAAAAGTTCCTCTTCTGATGTACCCCTTAAGTAGGAGGCAAGCACTATTCTGAACGCGCTCACTAGGGGGCAAGCATCATTGAACTAAGTGAGGCTACATAGGGCTGGATCATAAATCTGTTTTGTGAAGGCTAATTAACCAGTAAGCAAAAGCTACCCCTTTTAGCCAAACAAAAGAGTTATTTTAATTAGGGGATATTTATAGTAGTTCGGAAGAGGCTGGCTCCTCCTAATGGTGTCTTCATGCACCTGAATTTTGAAGATGATGAGGATGATGATGATAATAATAATAATAATAATAGTAAATCTACTATCCTTCATCTGTAGATCTCAGGGAGGTTCACAACATATTTGGGGCACTAATCAGGGCCATTGCTTTTCATATTACCTGTTCTGCAGAGTTGTCTAATGTTACTAAATTGCCACAGCAACAATTAACTCTCTGCTGACTAATTTAAAAGCAATTCAGCTGGTAGTCACATTTGACCCAATTGTGGATTCATTCAACAGGATTAATAATCTAGTTAGGTACACACACACACACACACACACACACACACACACACACAGTCAGCCCTCAGAAGAACTTAAGGATTTTCAAAATGATAACTTGCCATGGAATAACTTTTCTGATTGAAAAATGGTAGTCAGGCATCATAGGCAAGAGCACCTCAAGGCTTATACTAGGATGTGATTAGTGGCAGGCACTGTGTGTGGAATGATGCTGCTCACCTGACTTTGTTCTAGCTGAGTCACAGCTGCCTAAAGGGACAAGAAGGGGTGTTGTGGTGTTGAGGTTGGTGTGGTGCAAATGTGGTGGCGGAACCAGGCTAGTGCTCTTGCTCACATGTTTGCAATGCACTGATCTTTCCTCTGCCTCTCCATTCCAGTATGCAACAGCAACTCAGCTGGAGGGAGGTCAGGTGAGCAGCGGAGCCTCAACCCACAGCCTGCTACTGGGTGGTGGAAAAGATTGCCATGGATCATGTCTTGCTTTTCTGAAAATGCTCACTTAGGCCTCAGAGTAACCTCATAGCTATGCAGATAGGCTTCCAAAAACTAGTCTCATGCAAAGTCCTCCTAACCTTGTTATTGAACAGGTTGTATATTGAAGCTTGTTCACGATAGGTAAACTGATACTATAACCATTTTAAAAAATGACATGCCTACTCCTAGGACCTTTGCTGTTAATTGTACGAGGAAATCAGGATTCTTAAATGCACCAGATTTTAGTGTCTTGCCTGTAGTTTCACAGTCTGGCTCAGTAAACTCCACCTGCGTTTTGTTTTACATTGAGACAAACTCTGAAAACTCCCAGTATCTTTCCTTTACAAAAGGCGTCAGTGGGGAGCCGTGATCTGGATTGTGATGAGGAGCAAGGGGCGGGGGGATGGTTAAGCCGTTACATAAGTAGATGACAGTGGGCAAGCTGGTTGAAAAAATACACTCTTGACTTCCCTGTTATTTACATAGTGTAGGAAGCTGCCTTATGAGTCAGACCATTGGTCCATCTAGCTGAGTGTTGTCTATGCTGACTGACAGCAGCTCTGCACGGTTTCAGGCATCTTCCTTCCTAGCCTTACCTGGAGATGCTGAGGATTCATCCTGGGACCATCTGCATGCAAATCGGGTGCTCTAGCCACTGAGCCTTTCCCCCTCCCCTCAGATTCTTCTGTTGCTGTTCAGAGAGACAACCTAGTAGAACGTTAGTGGTGTTTGAAAATAGAAATGTCCTCTGTTTGCCACCGCAGTGATGTTGCCTTGGGAGCCAAGTCTGTGTCTTGCCGCAAGTTCACCATGGAGTGAATGAATGAGTTGTGAATGAATGAATGAGAATTGAAAATGGGTTTGGGCTTTAGTCGGGAGAGAATTTGCTTTTGTCCCCAAAGCCATTGCAGTAACTGGCTTAAGCATAGAGGACTCTGGTTGGGCTCCATAGAGTTTGTTCAGGAGGTTAGCAACTTGAATTGTAGAAATTCTGCTTGTGATAGTCACTTCTAGCATAAACGTTTGTGTGTGCAGTAGGTGTTGAATTGGCCCTGTGTGTCCAGGAGACATCCCTATTGATCTTTTCTCTATTCCATAACTTTACTTGCTTGCAAGAAATAAAAATAAAGTTTCTTCCCAATTTGGAAGGAAGAGATGGAGGTGTCCTGGCTTGCCCAGCCTCTGCACCCATTGGTAGTTGCTTGGTTAGAGTATCAGCGAGGTGCAGAGGAAGAGCAATACTTTGCATAACCCCAGCTCTAAACTTTTGGAGGTGGAACTTGTTTTCATGTTCCCACTTCTCCCCCTTACTCCAAATGAAAAAGTTCAGAGGAGCAGATTTTCTTCTGACTTCTGACCATGTGCCGCATTTCAGAGAAGCTGTTGGGCCCTGTCCTTTGGAGGAGTGGGGTCCTGCCAACAACAAATGCTTAGCTCCGCTGGTAAGGCCAGCCAAAATGTATTGACCCCTGACAAAGTTAGGTATGAATTTGAATTCTTTGTCTTGGTCCAACTGGAGGTTGGTTCCATTTACAATATTGGGAGTAATCTAATATTTAGGAACTTCTATGAGGTGCCATCCAAATATGTACTAATCCTACTTTTGCAGAAAACTAGTTGTATTTGTGGAAGGAAGTAGATAACGATGAATGCTCTTAAGATGGTTGGAAGGTGCCTTGTATGCCTCCTTCCCTCAACTCTGCTTTCCTTTGGACCATATCAGTGAGACCGAGAAGGGGATATTTGTCATCTGGGTAGCCCAGGTGCACTGCATGCACACTGCCCAGGCTTGCATCCCAGGAGGTCACTTTGGTTCTGCTAATGCAGCGGTTGACTTCACCCCTGGAGGTGCACTCCATTGTCTTTCAAGACAGACAGATGCCAGCAACCATAGTAGCTCTTTTGTATAACAGCTAAGTTATTTTGAAGACCTTTTGTTTCAATGAGGTTTATGGGTCTATTGCAGGTGGTGTTGTTCTTTTAAGCTGCAAATCTTTTGAAAGAGGTATCAGTGTCTTTGCTGCAGCAGAATAACATCGCCACTTTGTTTCCCCTTGCATGTGTTCACGGGATGTCGTAGTTAGTCACTGAGCCTCTTGGGCTTGCTGATCAGCGGTTCAAATCCCCGCGATGGGGTGAGCTCCCATTGCTCTGTCACAGCTTCTGCCAACCTAGCAGTTCAAAAGCACACTAGTAGCTGCGGCTACTAGTAGGTACCGCTGCAGCGGGAAGGTAAACAGCGTTTCCATGCACTCTGGCTTCCATCACTGTTCCGTTGCGCCAGAAGCGGTTTAGTCATGCTGGCCACATGACTCGGAAAGCTGTCTGTGAACAAACGCCGGCTCCCTTGGCCTGAAGGGGAATACCCCATAGCCACCTCATAGTCACCTTTGACTGGACTTAACCATCCAGGGGTCCTTTACCTTTACCGTGTTGGTCACCTGGGCTGTACATAAAGGTCTCCCGTGAGCTTTGTTTAATAGTGATATCTTACAGTCTGTTTATACCAATTCAATCCATCTTTGGTGAAGTTCTTGTCTGCAGTTTTTGAAACTCTACCATTTGTGCAGATGTCTCTCAGTGAGGTGAGGTACAGGTGATAAAATCTTGGCGCAGAATAATAAAGCTGTAATTTGTGTCTTCTCCCACTGCTTGCTGATTCTTCTTAAAACCCAGCTTAAAGTAACATTGGCACACACATTGAAGCTTACACTTTAGAAGCTGCTCATATCCTGTGTCAGGGCTATTGCACAGAGAGACGGTTGACTTTGTTGATTATGTCTATCAATGGATGTGAATGAGAGCAGGGTCCTTTCTCTTGCTTCCCAAGATCAAATCTGAGAGCAGACTTTCAATTCCTGTTTAATACTCTAGCCTTCACCAGAGTGAAGCACATAATATGCCTGCTGTGTACCAAAAGAAGCACGGCAGCCTTGATTTTTGGAAAACGCTGTGTGTGGGAATACTACCTTTTCATCTCTTTATTTTCCAAGCTTCTAAGATACACTTTGGATAAACAAGAGCTGCAGCGGGTGAGGATCATAGCCAGCGATAACCTCTGGGAGCCAATTTCCTTTTTCATGCTGGTTGACTCTGAGCTACGTGAAGCAGTCGATATCATTGGGTAGGACATCTCTTCAAAGCTGATTTTTTCCACCCATAATCCCTTCTGAAAAATTCTGGCAAATGATGGGAAACAGCAACTTTGGAAAAACTTTCTGGAATATCAGCATAGCAGTTACAAAATTTTGGCCACATGCCTCTTTATCAGCAATCCTGTATGCCAAGGGGAGCATGCGTTGTGCCCATCAGATGTTGGAATGCAACTCTCACCAGCCTCAGCCAACTTGGCGGTGGTCATGGCTCATGGGAGCTGTAGTCTCAATAGCATCTGCAGGGCAGCATGTTGGCTACCCCTGCCATACACATGGATCTGGGAGGATGACCCATTGTTGCAAAGATGGACTGACCTCTGATGGACTGATGGACTGACCTCCATAGGATACTTTCAGGGATACTGAACTATACACACACACGTTGATGTAATTGGAACATGACAACCCTCTCCTTTTTTCTTTGCTCTGGGAAAAGGGGAGAGGAGAATTTGAGCAGAGAAGTGCCTCATTTCTTCAAATCATGCCACCCACTTCCCCAAGCTGTTCCCCCTCCTTCCAAGATTCCAAATATGCTTGTAAGTCTAGATATACATTTGGTACTCTGGTGAAGAAAGTCTTTGCTCAAAATCACATCCTCCCAAAGCTGTTTTCTTTGGACAGTAGGGAGACCTGTCAGGCTCTACTTTCATGCAATTGACTGTAATTCATAGTGGTAGGTCTCCTTTAGTTCTGGTTGTTCCCTTTTGGTAGAGTGAATGGTTGCCATGTAGATCTGATTTGATCAGCCTGACCAATCCATGTGGTGACATTAGCTCTTCAGTGAGTAAAATTTGCCTTGTGTATCTTTTTGAAACTGGTGATTGTGGAGATGGACTATAGTCATTTAAGATCTGAATCGTTTGTGTGAGTTGTGGGAGGTAAATTGGTGTGATTTAGGTTAAAACGATAAGATAACTCTAGTTCAAGATTTCAGAAGATAGAAAGTTCTTAGGGGTAGCTGCATGTTTCAGTACTTCCATGTTTCAAAATCAACTTGGCATGCCCAGAGTGAGGCAGGGTTCCTGTTTTGAGAAACAAGAACCCCAATCCCTGCTATGTGGCACTATAGTCCTTAAGGTCTTTGACTTTGGGTCAAGAATGGCGGCTGAGAGTTAGTAAACCCATGCAGTTTATATTCTGCCTCTGCTGTGAGCCCACCAGAGGCCGAGAGAGAGAGAATGGAGACAGTGATAATGACTTATTTTGCAGGGTTTTTGCAAAGATGGATGAGAAAGTATACAAAGCTCTTTTGAGTGTCCAGAGTGCTATGTAGATGCTAAGTATTTATTTTTTTCCCTTCCAAGTTTTGAGATGTAAATTATTATTATTCAGTCTATTCACCAGCAGGTCCCAGACCTGGTTACAACAGTTTAAAATTCAGTATTCAGAATAGTTAAATGGCAGACTTTGGCAGAAATTAATAAATCCCTGACACTTTCAGGTTCAAGTATTTTGTTCTTCCGGGTCATGGACTTAACTGTGTATTGCATCCAAATGGATGATGCAGCCTGGCCTTCACCAACCCTGTGCCTTACAGACATCATGGACTGCAGTTTCCATCACCCCTGACTGTTGGGCATTCTAAATGGCACAGATAGGAGCTGGATTTCACAATGTCTGCAAGGCAGCAGGTTAAGAGATGGCAGATGCAAACACACAGGAAAAAGACACCCAATTTCACTGGGTGTTCAGTGATTTGTTAAATGTATTCTAGAGGTGTTTGGATCCTAATATCTCCTCCATGGAGGAAAGGACTGATAAGAAGAACTACTGCAAAAGAAAGAAAGAAAGAAAAGAAACTACAGTTTTCTAGAGTTTAAACTTACTGCAATCAAGTGTATTTAGAGTCCTTGCTTTGAGTTAAAATGCACTTTGTCCTTGCTTTTTGTTTTTCAATATCCAGGGCTCATTACCCAGGAACAAAAACGGTGCCTAGTGCGTTGCACACAAAGAAGAAACTCTGGGCTTCAGAAGACTATAGCACTTTCAATGATGAAGTGGGGGCAGGTTGCTGGGCTCGAATCCTGAACCAAAATTTTGTGAATGGGAAAATGACATCGTACGTCTTGACTTTCAAAGAATTTTATATATATATATATATATATGTGTGTGTGTGTGTGTGTGTGTGTGTGTGTGTCTGCCTGTCTGTCTCTATCTATCTATCTAGCAAGGTAGAATAAAACCTTGTCTAATTACCAGTAATTGGAAATGCTGGTTGCCAGGTTTGCATTTTTCAGCTAATGAAATCCCCGTGGACTTGAAACTTGTATTTCTTGACAGTCTGGTTCACTTTTATCCACAACAGAAGAAGTAGGCTCAAACACTTGATATTGTGGCCCAGATAAGTCTTAATTTCCCTCTTCACATGTTACCTCCAGTTGTTGTTGATGATCTGCATGATGACCTCTTGTTGGGAGAAAGACGGAGGGGAAATATGTCCCTGTTAATTCTCCTCAGTCTCTCAGCGGCTTTCAGTACCATCAACCATAGTATCTTTCTGGAGCGGCTGTCTGAGTTGGGGGTGGGTGGCACCCACTTTGCAGTTGGTCGGGTCCTGCTTGGATGGTCATTTCCAGAGGGTGATGCTTGGGGAGTGCTGTTCGGCCTTGTAGAGTCTTCACTGTGGGGGTTCAATTTGATCCTCCTTGCTGTTTAACAAGTAATCTGGAATTTTGGAGTACGTTGTCAGCAACATACTGATGACATACGTTGAGCTACAGCCCTTTCTCATAGACAAATATATTCCCGGTATATTTATTGGTCTAACCATAGCATGCTAGACCAATTCTTTACATGATTCTCTTTATTAATTCCTGTCTTCTTTATCTCTATATCACACAGCACTATTGCTTGGAATTTGGTGGCTAGTTACTATGAAGATTTACCTTTCGGCCGGTGTGGTTTAATGACAGCGCAGGAACCATGGAGCGGGCATTACACTGTGAACCCCCCCATATGGATAACAGGTATTTTTTTTAGACAGAGCTTTTTGAAATGAGATGTATGTTTTTCAATTGTGGCTTTTCTAAGTTATTAAGGCCGCAGCACACTTCATTGGGCATACAAACTATTTAACCCAGCAGGGCTAACTTCTGCATAGATATGCATGGGATTGCACTGCAAATGTATTTTGAATTGCTGCTCTGTGATGCAATTTTTCAAATTTATTGGACAGCCTTTGTAGTAGTGATGTTCTTGGCAAGTTAACTAAGAGCTGGAAGGGAAAGGTTGTGGCGTATTTGGAAATTAACTTGTGTGGGCGCAATAAGGGCCAGCTCAAGGCACGATCAGCATGATAAAAAATGCCACGTATTCATGCTATACACACATACTTGCACATGTATTTACAGAGTAGCCCTAACTGTGGCTCAGAAGCCCTATTTAATTTAACAAGGTTTACTCCCAGGTAAGTGGAGTTAGGATTGCAAATTTTAGTTTGCAGGGCAGCAGTTGAAGAAGGAGCAAAAAGGGTTTTCTTGTGTGTGTGTTTCTTTGTGGCTGATTGGCTGCTCTCCCTGTGCAAAGGTCAGAGGGGGCAGGGTTTCTGTTGAGGCAGGTGATTAGCTGTGGGAGGAGCTTATCAGAGTTTGCAGGGCAGCGGCGCGCGCCTAGCGGTGTGCGCAGTTTGATCCATCTTTTAGATTTAGGGGAGCTAGTCTCAAACGTTTGTTGGGGGAGACCTAGGTTTTTTTGTGGGGGGGAGTTATTTTTCCTGTCTTCACGCTTTTATGATGGAGGACCGCTGTAGCCACCCCCAACGACACGTTCTGAAGATGGAGGGGGGAGGGAACAGCTGCAGTCGCCTGCGGTTCCTGCGCAATGTTTGCCATCTTGCCAAAGGTTGCAGGCAGCTTTACCTGCAGCAATTGCATGTTGATTGCCCTCTTAAAAGACAAAGTCCAGCAACTGGAGGAACGTGTAGCTACGCTCCAAAGAATTAGAGAGCTGGAGCTCTTCTTGGAAGCAACAGAGCACACCGTCTCCACCAAGGAGGAGACAGGGGACTCCCTGAGAAGGACGCTAGTTCACCAACACAGGAGCCAGATATATGGAGAAACGTGACTCAAAGAAGTAGGAGGCCCAGGGTTCGCTCTGATTGTTTAGAAATACACAATCGCTTTGAGGTCCTCTCCCCTAGCATGGAAGACGAAGAGCTGACTCCATTTGAGGATCTATAACTCGTTACAGTCGATCAGGTATATGAAGACGAGCAGCAAAGTCAGTCCTCAGGGAATGTGCAGGCGACCTTGGAGCGGACAGCTCACGGAAGAACCCCGACCAAACCTAAGAGGAGGCGTGTAGTGGTGATAGGGGATTCCCTACTGAGGGGAACAGAAGCAGTGATCTGTGGGCCTGACAAGATGTCTCGGGAAGTGTGCTGTCTCCCGGGGCTAAGATCCAAGATGTAACTGAACGACTGCAAGGAATCATAAAACCCACTGACAAATACCCCTTCCTCTTGGTTCATGTGGGAACCAATGACACTGCAAGCAATAGCCTCCAGAAGATCAAAAGAGACTACGAGGCTCTGGGCAGGAAATTGAAGCAATTAAATGCACAAATTGTGATCTCATCTGTCCTCCCAGTTGAACGACGTGGCCCAGGGAGAGAGGGGAAAATAGTGGAAGTGAACAGCTGGCTTCGCAAATGGTGTAAACAGGAACGGTTTGGATTCTTAGATCACGGACTGCAGTTTCTTGAAGATGGACTTCTGGCAAGCGATGGGCTGCACCTCACAACGGTTGGGAGAAATGTTTTTGCCAAAATCACAGAAACCTCATCAGGAGGGCTTTAAACTGACTAATGTGGGGGAGGAAGACAGTGCTCCTGAAGGTAGGAGTCTATCAATTGATGAAGATGATCATCCAAATGTCATAGACCAAATGGAGCAAACAGCACACAGACCTAGTGGTGGGAGGAAAAATCCTTAAATAAGAGTCACGGGGAATGATTAATGGACTTCAATGTCTGTACACTAATGCGCAAAGCATGGGAAATAAACAAGATGAGCTTGAGCTCTTGGTACAGCAAACTAAATATGACATAATAGGCATCACTGAAACCTGGTGGGATAAGTCCCACGATTGGAATGTAATAATGGGGGATACAATCTATTTCAGAGAAACAGACCAGACAAGAAAGGAGGAGGAGTGGCGTTATATGTCAGGGATGTGTATACCTGTGAAGAGATCCAAGATTTAGAACCTCAAAGCCAAAGTGAGAGCATTTGGGTCAAAATTAAGGGAGAGAAGAATAACAGTGACCTCATTGTGGGAGTTTACTATAGATCCCCAAGCCAAACGGAGGACATAGATGATGCCTTCCTGGAACAGATGGCCAAGCATGCAAAAGGAAGGGAGATAGTAGTAATGGGGGACTTCAATTACCCGGATATTTGTTGGATGTCAAACTCAGCCAAGAGCATAAGGTCAAACAGATTCCTCACTGGCCTTGCAGACAACTTCATTGTCCAGAAAGTGGGAGAAGCAACAAGAGGAACAGCCATTTTAGATCTGGTCCTAACCAATGTTGATGACCTGGTTAGTGGGGTAGAAGTGGAAGGATCATTAGGCGCGAGTGATCATGCTCTTCTGAAGTTTACTATACAGCGGAAAGGAGCAGCCAAGCATACTAGGACTCAATTTCTTGACTTTAAGAAAGCTGACTTCATAAAACTTCATAAAAGTGCTGGGTGAGATCCCATGGACAGTAATACTAAAAGGAAAGGGAGTTCATGATGGCTGGGAGTTTGTTAAGAGGGAGATACTAAAAGCACAACGTCAGGCAATACCAATGAGACAGAAACATGGAAGGTGCCTAAAGAAGCCAGGGTGGCTATCTAAAGAACTTTTAACTGAGTTAAGATTAAAAAGGATGTGTACAAAAATGGAAAAGGGGGGAAACCACCAAAGAGGAATTCAAACAAATAGCCAGCACATGTAGACACAAAGTCAGAAAAGCTAAAGCACAGAATGAACTCAGGCTTGCTAGAGAGGTTAAAAGCAACAAAAAGGCTTTTATGGGTATGTCCGTAGCAAAAGGAAGAACAAAGAAACAGTGGGGTCACTCAGAGGAGAAGATGGTGAAATGCAAACAGGGGACACAGAAAGAGCTGAACTCCTCAATGCCTTCTTTGCCTCAGTCTTCTCCGATAAAGAAAAATGCCCGACCTGAAGAATTTGGAGCAAATGATTCAGCAAAGGAAACACAGCCCAGAATAACTAAGGAGATAGTACAAGAATACTTGGCTAGTTTAGATGTATTCAAGTCTCCAGGGCCAGATGAACTGCATCCAAGAGTATTAAAAGAACTGGCAGATGTGATCTCAGAACCACTGGCAGTCATCTTTGAGAATTCCTGGAGAACAGGTGAAGTCCCGGCAGACTGGAGGAGGGCAAATGTTGTCCCTATTTTCAAAAAGGGGAAAAGAGAGGACCCAAATAATTACCGCCCAGTCAGTCTGACATCAATACCAGGGAAGATTCTGGAGCAGATCATTAAGCAAACAGTCTGTGAGCACCTAGAAAGGAATGCTGTGATCACCAATAGTCAGCATGGATTTCTGAAAAATAAGTCATGTCAGACTAACCTGATCTCATTTTTTGACAGAATTACAAGCCTGGTAGATGAAGGGAATGCAGTGGATGTAGCCTACCTTGATTTCAGCAAGGCATTTGACAAGGTGCCTCATGATATTCTTGTAAAGAAGCTGGTAAAATGTGGTCTTGACTATGCTACCACTCAGTGGATTTGTAACTGGCTGACTGACCGAACCCAAAGGGTGCTCATCAATGGTTCCTCTTCATCCTGGAGAAGAGTGACTAGTGGGGTGCCACAGGGTTCTGTCTTGGGCCCGGTCTTATTCAACATCTTTATCAACGACTTGGATGATGGACTCAAGGGCATCCTGATCAAATTTGCAGATGACACCAAATTGGGAGGGGTGGCTAACACCCCAGAGGACAGGATCACACTTCAAAACGACCTTGACAGATTAGAGAACTGGGCCAAAACAAACAAGATGAATTTTAACAGGGAGAAATGTAAAGTATTGCACTTGGGCAAAAAAATGAGAGGCACAAATACAAGATGGGGGACACCTGGCTTGAGAGCAGTACATGTGAAAAGGATCTAGGAGTCTTGGTTGACCACAAACTTGACATGAGCCAACAGTGTGACGCAGCAGCTAAAAAGGCCAATGCAATTCTGGGCTGCATCAATAGGAGTATAGCATCTAGATCAAGGGAAGTAATAGTGCCACTGTATTCTGCTCTGGTCAGACCTCACCTGGAGTACTGTGTCCAGTTCTGGGCACCACAGTTCAAGAAGGACATTGACAAACTGGAGCGTGTCCAGAGGAGGGCAACCAAAATGGTCAAAGGCCTGGAAACGATGCCTTATGAGGAACGGCTAAGAGAGCTGGGCATGTTTAGCCTGGAGAAGAGGAGGTTGAGGGGTGATATGATAGCCATGTTCAAATATATAAAAGGATGTCACATAGAGGAGGGAGAAAGGTTGTTTTCTGCTGCTCCAGAGAAGCGGACACGGAGCAATGGATCCAAACTACAAGAAAGAAGATTCCACCTAAACATTAGGAAGAACTTCCTGACAGTAAGAGCTGTTCGACAGTGGAATTTGCTGCCAAGGAGTGTGGTGGAGTCTCCTTCTTTGGAGGTCTTTAAGCAGAGGCTTGACAACCATATGTCAGGAGTGCTCTGATGGTGTTTCCTGCTTGGCAGGGGGTTGGACTCGATGGCCCTTGTGGTCTCTTCCAACTCTATGATTCTATGATTCTATGATTCTATGATTCTATGATTCTAGTAAGATTCCATGTTTCCCCCGGGGGGGCAGAACTAAGCAAATTCTCTGTCTGTGTGTTTGTGTATGTATATATATGTACATAGGGCCAGCTCTAGACATTTTGCTTTCTGTGGTGCAGCAGCAAGTGATGCATTTTCTATCCCTAAAGTACATAGTACTCAAGGCCAACAAAGTTATTTTGGTATCTGGGGCAGAAAATACTGCAAGTTCCTCTCCTGTCTTGTAAAAAAATCAACAATAAATACACAAATATTTCCTGCAACGATTTCATGTCACCCCAAATTGGCTGCCAGAGATGTCTGCATCACTCTGCCTAATGTTAGGGCCAGTCCCCACCTCTCTGCATCAACCTGTGTGTGTAGAGCTGGAGTCCCCAACATGGTGTCCATGAGCACCACAGTGCCCTCAGATACATCTATGGCTCCTTCCTTGGGCCTCTGACCCTCCTGATTTTTATCTTAGTTTTGGAATTGGGGGATGTTTTGAGGGGGCGGGGGACTGTCTACTTTTTTCATTGTTTTCTTTTTCCCCCGCTGATGTCAGTTCTGTAAAAGCAAAAACCCTCAATGCAGTTTACAAAAAAGATAAAACTGTAGTAAAGTTATCAATAGAAAGAAAAAAACAACAACTTTCTTCTCTCCTTTTTCTGTTTTGACACAGCACACACTACCCATTTCACACAACCAGGCTGGTACTACCTGCAAGCCGATGGGCATCTGGAAAAAGGTGGCAGCTACGTGGCTCTGACTGATAGGCAAGGCAATCTCACGATCATCATTGAAACCATGGTAATGCTCTCTTAACGCACTCTGCCAATGTCTACCTAGCTCAGAACTGTATTCCAGCTATTTAAAACAATGGTGTTTTAAAGGTACCTGTGTTGTATGCTGGTCTGCCATGGTCCATTAGATGGAACTGTGATTGGGAAGGGCCATCTATAAATCTCACCTCCTCTATGAATTCAGAAGCTGGCCTTAGATAACCTTCTGTCTCATAATCTCTGCCCCCACGCATGCATTACAGGAGCCGTTTGTAGTGACCTATTTTATAGAATTGTGGAAAGGCAAGGTAAAATTGGTGAACCTGCAGCCCTCCAGATGTTGTTGAACCACAACTCCCATCATCCCTGGCCATCATCCATGATGGTGGGGGTGCTGATGGGAGTTGTGGTTCAACCGCACTGGGAGGGCCTACTTCTTTCTCTCATCCCTGTTGTAAGGGTTCCTGGAATGACATACCTGAAGTGCTTTGAACACTGGTGACACAGTCATTCAAAGTATGACAGTCATAGCACTATTGAGGTTCATGGCACTTAACAAGGAATGTGAGGACCACAAAACAAGGTGCTTACAAAAGTTTATTTTTCTGCAGCTGCTGCTGGCTTGTTATTGCATGATTTTGAATGGAGTTTGTTCAGTGTGATCGATGACCTGCTTCAGTTGCTAGCAATGCAAAGTTAGGTCATGTTTGTGCCAAGGTTTGAGACTTCTCAATGGAAGTTGCATGCAAGGAGCTTCCCGATTGACTTAGGGCATCGATGAATGTTAGCCTAATTCCTAGGATCACCCCCCACTCCAAAAAAAGAAAGAAACACAACTTAGCACTTTGTTGCTGTGGGCAACAAACTGTGCACAGTTCCCAGTCTGGTCCTTCAGAGCAGTCCTGTTCTGATCCAGAGTTGATTTGATGTGGATTCAGGTCCTGGACTGAATTGGGGTTTAAAATTTTAATTAAGCTTGGGGTTGGAATGTGGGATGGGGTGGGGAGAAGAAGACACATGCAGGCAACTTACTGTCCCCCTTTGACCTCCCTATTGCTCCCCTTTTAACAGCCCCAAAGTGATCCAGGGTTGCCTTAACCCATTTTGGCTCAAGTTTGGGTAGACCCAAATTGGCCCCGTTCAGGACCTGGAATTCAGCCAGAGTCAGCACATAGCTCCTAAGCAACACGTGGAGGCAACACTGTATTGTCAATACAGTGGTACCTCTGGATGCGAACGGGATCCATTCCGGAGTCCCGTTTGCAGCCAGAGCAGAATGCAACCCGCGTCTCTGCGCCTGCGTGTGCGCGGGTCGCGATTCGCTGCTTCTGCGCATGCGCGTGACGTCATTTTGAGCGTCTGTGCATGCGTGAGTGGCGAAGAGTAACCTGAAAACGCTCAACCTGAAGCAACTTTAACCCGAGGTATGACTATGTGATTCTTTTGAGTATTAGTTTCAGATAATTGTCTTGAGTTGAGATGGTGGTTGATGTGAGTTCCTTGCTATTCATTTTCAGACTCACGACCACTCCAAGTGCATCAGGCCACCACTATTTCCCTACTTTGTGTCACCACAGAAAGCAACTTTCCATCTCAAAGGATCCTTTGTAAGTAAATGCCATACACTTAATTTGCTGCCTCTCACTTCTTTGTGCTGCCACTAATGTGCAATATATGTGCAGTAGGACATATGAAGAAAACAGAATCTTGGAATAATTGTGTGTGTGATACATATTTGTTATTTTGAAGTGTCTGTGTAGCTAGACACCATATATAAATAATCCTACTTATTTTATACTCAGCCGATCACAGCTTTGGATCACTCATTAGTAGGTCTGTTCTGTATGATGCATTTTTTTTGTGTGTGTTATGGCACCTACCCTTCCACTGAATGTTGGACAGCTGCTGTCTCTATTGCCTTTTTGGCAGCAGCTGAAGACCTTTCTTTTTCAGCAGAGATTTGACTCGTACCAGATTTGAAATTGTTTTTAATATATGATATTGTTTGTATATATTTTATTGTTAAATTGTCTTGAGACGTTTAATAAAAAATGGTTTTAAAAAGGGCGGACTTTGCCGCCACAGACTTACAATCTATGCATTCCTATTGAGTTGCAGTTGTATATGAATAAATTAATATTAATACAGTAGGCAGCTAGGTATTCTAGATCCATTGTGTTTGGTTATTGACACCAGCCCATGATCTTTATGTGGGCCTTCCATCTGCCAGGAGGAAGACTTCTACTTTGCTCTGGCATTGGGAACCTCTTTGACTGTAGCTCCCATAAACCTAATCCAGCATGGCCAATGATTTGGATGATTAGAGTTGTAGTTCAACAAAATCTGGAGGGCCACATTTGCCCCATTCCTGATTAAGCTGGAATCTACACACGTATAAAATCCATTGTGAAAATGCTTTTTAAAAAAATGCTTTGAAAAATACATTGAATTTGGCATAGCTCACTGTTGCCATCCAGTGTCACCTTTGTATATTGCAGTTTACAACACATTCAGAAACCTAAAGGGTTTATAAGAAGACTCATGAAAGTTTTCTCCCCCTTCCTCAGAGCAAGCTGAAATCTCTTCACATGTGGTATTCTAAACTTGAATTTAATTCTCCCAACTCCACATTGTTCCAGTCTCTTGGACCCGTAAATGTAAGTGTGCCTTAATTTATTTACGAGATCACTTTACCCCATAAATGTCAGCTCGATTGCTTTGATCTGCTGAACTGGCACTGATTCTTGCCTATCCAGACATGTAGAATGTTGACATGTCTTTTATCTTTGACTGTAAATATTTTTTTAATGTTTTAAATGGTTGTTTTCAACTGCACCCCCCAATAACTCTATTTTTTTTATTCTTTTGTAAACCGCTTTCAGGTTTTATTACCATCAAGCGGTATATAAATCTTATAAAATTAATTAATTAATTTATAGCAAAATACTGCAGTCTTCAAGAAGAAAAAAAAAAACATGTTGCTTGTGATCTTTTCTCCAGGCCTATAAATAAAGGCCTGATGAGTCCTCAACATGCTAAATATTGATTCTGTTTACTGCATACTCACTACTGTCCCAGGCCTGAAATGTAATGCCTCACTGTACTTACCTATAATGCCTTGTATTGTTGCAGTAAAATGTCACATCTAGAGGTTGTGGCTAAAGCTTAGTCAACCTGGTAGTGATAATCTGAAGCAGGACCATTTTGTTACCTCGCCGGTCCTAGGCTTGTACCCAAGATGAAAGATTTCACCTGTATTTCCTGCCTCTAGTCAGCCACTTGTGCATCATCTCTCTCTCTCTCCCCCTCTCTCATTTTTATTAAATTTTCATCCAATGACTTCCCTTCTTCTCTTTCCATGATTCATTTTGCCTATCTTACATCCCTGCATATTTTACAATAACCATTCCAATCGGTTTTCCACTATTACGTCCATCAATATTACGTTGCCAGCGTTTTGAGCTGTACACAGTTATTTTCCATATACTCAATAAACATTTTCCAATCTTCTTTTAATGTATGTTCTTCTTGCTCTCTTATTCTATATGCCAAATCTGCAAGCTGTGCATATTCTGTCAACTTGAGTTGCCAATCCCCTTTAGATGGGACCTCGCTAACTTTCCATTTTGGAGCTAACAAAACATGGGCCACAGTTGTTGCATACATAAATAACCTTTTCTGATACCTGAGGATTTCAGTCTGGATTATACCCAGCAGAAAGGACTCTGGGTTTGTTTGTTTTTTGGGGTGGGGGAGTAATTTTAAACATTTTTTTCAGTTCATTATAAATAATTTCCCAAAACTCTTTTACCTTTTTACATGTCCACCACATGTGAAAGAATGTTCCCTTCACCTCTTTACACTTCCAGTACCTATCTGATTCTATCTTGTAAATCTTGGCCAGCCTAGGTAAAGGTAAAGGGACCCCTGACCATTAGGTCCAGTCGTAGCCGACTCTGCGGTTGTGGCGCTCATCTCGCTTTATTGGCCGAGGGAGCCGGCATACAGCTTCTGGGTCATGTGGCCAGCATGACTAAGCCACTTCTGGTGAACCAGAGCAGCACGGAAACGCCATTTACCTTCCTGCCGGAGCGGTACCTATTTATCTACTTGCACTTTGACGTGCTTTTGAACTGCTAGGTTGGCAGGAGCAGGGACGGAGCAACGGGAGCTCACCCCGTTGCGGGGATTTGAACCGCCAACCTTCTGATCGGCAAGTCCTAGGCTCTGGGGTTTAACCCACAACGCCACCTGCCTCCCATCTTGGCCAGCCTACTTGGAGTTAAATGCCATCTATGAATAATTTTCAAATAGTTCTCTTTCAAAGAATGTTGTTGTTGTTTAGTCGTTTAGTCGTGTCCGACTCTTCGTGACCCCATGGACCAGAGCACGCCAGGCACTCCTGTCTTCCACTGCCTCCCGCAGTTTGGTCAGACTCATGTTTGTAGCTTCGAGAACACTGTCCAACCATCTCGTCCTCTGTCGTCCCCTTCTCCTTGTGCCCTCCATCTTTCCCAACATCAGGGTCTTTTCCAGGGAGTCTTCTCTTCTCATGAGGTGGCCAAAGTATTGGAGCCTCAGCTTCATGATCTGTCCTTCCAGTGAGCACTCAGGGCTGATTTCCTTAAGAATGGATGCGTTTGATCTTCTTGCAGTCCATGGGACTCTCAAGAGTCTCCTCCAGCACCATAATTCAAAAGCATCAATTCTTCGGTGATCAGCCTTCTTTATGGTCCAGCTCTCACTTCCATACATCACTACCGGGAAAACCATGTAGTAACATGCTATAAATTTCAAGTCGCTTTTCCAAAGTTTCTTGTGCATCCTTTCTCCACTCAGGTTTCCGAAGGCGTGTTGATACTAAATCTGGGTCTGGATGAGGTCTATACTTTGACAACCTTGACAGCAGGCTTTGAGAAGCCTTTCCCGGATCCTCCTGCATCCCAGCCATTTCCTTCCGATTACAAGGACGATTTCAATATCCGTAAGTAACACTTGGAAGTCATTATTTGGGGTTGGGAGGTGGGATGGGACATTATCTAGCGGTCCCTGGCTAGCACAGGGTCCTTATCAATAGTATTAATTCTCAAGCATATGTGATTAGAAGTCTGCATTAACACAAATGTTTGACCTGGGGAGTATCCTGGCTCCTCTGTCTGGCCCTCTCGATTCTCCGGAGGTGGTGCCAACGGTAATGGCGGATTCCCTCTAACTCGGAGGGAACCTGCTCCACAGAAACAGGGTCGGATACTGCTTCGGCGCAGCGGGGACCCCTGAAATCACAGGCGGGTGAAGCCTGTGAACCTGGGACTCGGCGGGCACTGTTTGCGCCCCCCCAATCCGTGAAGGGAGTATCCTGGCTCCTCTGTCTGGCCCTCTCGATTCTCCGCAGCCACACACCTCCCTGTCTCTGTTCGGACCCTGAGCCTGGCTGTGATGTGTCTGATAAAGCCTCTTGCTTGACAGGGTTAAGGATGGAGAGGAAAGTGTGAGTGTGTGTAGAAGGTAGCCTACTTTGCAAAGGTGACGTTTACATGTGTGGCCCCACATGCCACTGCCACGTGGTCCTTGGAAAAGAAAAAGGATGTGGCTTCCAGGCTGTAGAAGGTTCCCTAGCTTGCAAGGTCAAAAACAGCCATCCGTGTTGAGATTTGCATCCAGTGCCGGAACTGCTTGCAGGTTAGGATTGAGGATCCTCCATGGGCTTCAATTCCTGAGAGGCTTTCAGGTGCCCTCTTCAACTTGGATGACTCTAATGAAACACTCAGTTTGTTACCAAATTGGGGGGATGTCAGCTCTGTGTCAGGTTCTGCCTGCTGCGTCCCTGGTGTTGCAGTGGTGCTGAGAGAAGCTGTCACTTCTTCTTTCGTAGTGCAGGCGAGTGAAATAACGAGCTTTCTGTTCTCCCAACAGGCAACCCGCCTTTCAGTGAGGCCCCAAACTTTGCCGATCAAACTGGGGTGTTTGAGTACTTTGTAAACGTTTCTGATCCTGGGGAGCATGTCTTCACCCTTCGACAGGTGGTGACGCAGAGGCCTATAACCTGGGTTACTGAATCAGAGCATCCCATCAGCATTATTGGCAACTATAAATGGTATGTAATTAAACACAGTGCAACCCGCTGAATTTCCAGCTTGGTGCAAAGTTGCAGTGGAATCCAGTAATTGCACTGATTTTGTTAGCTGCGGTATGCAGATTTGAACATCAGTGAATGCAAAAGGGCACCCCTCACCCATGAACTGCAAAATGTCTTTCTTTGCTGGGTTTTTGTGGTCGCATAAACCAGGTGTTGCATGGCGACGTACAGTATTTAATGTGATTCAAGGCTGCCACCTGCTGTTGTCTTAGCATAACTACGTGAAAAGAAGCTGATGGAAATCAAGGTGTTGCAGAGAGTGATTGTATGAGCATGCATGGTTGAACGTAAAAAGAAAACTGCCTTAGATTGTGTGTTTGGAAATCGGAGTGTTACAGGATTGTGAATCAACTATGGTTCTGAGTATTACTTGCTACTCTTTTTATCTCTTAAGTATTGGAGCTCTGCGCTTATAAACGTGCTGCAGTCCCTGCAGTTTAGTTTTTCTTATCAATTTGGTTTTTTGCTCTATAATAAAGATGCTGGGTTGTGTTCAGTGACGTCACTGCACGATTGGAACAACTACTGCTCACACAACAGAACTTACCGTTCTCTTTCCTCCCCGTTTGCCCCCCACCCTAAAAAAAAAATGCTCTTGGGTTTCCCTAACCCTCTGGAATAGATTTAGTTGGTGAGGAGGAGGAGAGGAAGCGGGTGTTCAGTTTTACAAGTGAAAATCATTTTGCTCGCATAATAATGTAATTGGATACAACAGGTCTTTCTTCAGGGGGTACTCAGGGGTATGCATTACTGGCACCCCCCTTGGTGAAAAAGTGTGGCACTTATTGTAACAGCTTCGTGGTGAGTACCAGCACCTATTTTTCCACGGGGGGAAAAGCACTGGCTACAACTCCATTTGAGGGTGGCTTACATATAAAAACAAAAAGCAGTTGGCTAGGTGCCTCTGTTCCTTTCCTATCTTCTTCCTCTACTCCCTGGGATTCTGTTATTTAGAGTTTGGATTTGATATCCCGCTTTATCACTACCCTAGGGAGTCTCAAAGCGGCTAACATTCTCCTTTCCCTTCCTCCCCCACAACAAACACTCTGTGAGGTGAGTGGGGCTGAGAGACTTCAGAGAAGTGTGACTAGCCCAAGGTCACCCAGCAGCTGCATGTGGAGGAGCAGGGAATTGAACCCGGTTCACCAGATTACAAGTCTACTGCTCTTAACCACTACACCACACTGCCTCTGCACAGTCGTTTTACTGCTCCTGCTCCCATGGAGTTATGCCAGGCTAGCAAAGAAACTCAATGGTGCATATCGTTTCTGGCAGGGATGGCACAGCTGGGATAGCAGAGGAATGGACAGTTGTACTGGGTGCCTCCTTGGGTGGGGTTGCTGTTCACCTTAAGCAGTTGCATCTATGCAGCTCTTGGAAAATGATGTGTGTGGGGGGGAATAGTCAACCTCTGTTGTGCCACAGTACTGATCCAGATTCCACCTCTCCCACCAGCTGCAGTGTCTAAACACAAAACAAGTTCAGGAAGAACTGTATTATAATTATTACAATATGTTTATTTATTGATACTCTGCCTTTTTCCCTGACAGAGATTTGTGCATACATGTCCTTAAATATGTTTACACTTAGAAGTGGTTGGGATTTTTCTTGTTGTTGGAAGACTAATGCCAAAACTGACACTTTTCCAGCGCTGAGAACTGCATTTGTCTTTTTGCAGGGTAAACCTAACAATAACTTGCGACATTTACATAGAATCAAATGATGGAGGTGCATTCATTGCGGGAAGAGTGAACAAAGGTGGGATATACACCAAAGCCGCTAAAGGCATTTTCTTCTGGGTATTTCCTGACGGTACATACCGAGTTACAGGTGATCTCGGTGAGTATCCTTTAAAATGGATTTTGCATGCTTAATTAAATAGTTGCAGCTTATCCTGCAGTAGGTAATGCAGAATGGCATTTCTAAGGGTTTGAGGCTTGCACGGCAAAACCATTATGCAATAGTTCCCTTACTTGTAATTGCTGTTTTCTGTTGGGTGTCTTCCTCCACACCTCATTTGATTTTGATTTCAAACCAAGGTGCCTTGCTAGCTTATCAGATAATAATTATAACTGGCACAGAGCAATCAAAGTGAAACTTTTTCAACCAAAAACTGTTCTGAATGGTTCTTATTTGCAGTGTTAAATGCTCAAGTGTAGAAGGAGGACCAGCTGCTTTAGAATATTGAAAGTGTTTCTAAGTGGTTTAATATTTTTTTGAAAAAATCCCTAAGTAGCATACAAAACAGACAAAAATAATAATAACACACTATCAAAAAACAAACAAACCAGGAACTTGGTAAGAACAGGGTCCAATCTGGTAAAATCACCAGGTCAGAAAGGCATCTGCCTCCCATTTTTTTCTTAAGAACTCAGGTGTGAAATTGCTGATCTTTGAACAAATATTATTGTTATTATTGCTTTAAAACATTTATAAACCTGCTTAATCTCTCAAACAGTATACAAAAATACCAACCTTCAAACAGTAAAAACACATGCAAAAATAAAAAATAACAGGGGAATAGTATTATAAAAGTGGGTAAAAAACAGAAATTCAGTAATAAATAAGGTGTAGCCTTAGGGGTTAGGGAGCACCTGGGCAAAAATATGTCCTTAAAGATACCTGAAGCAACTGATGGCTGGTGCTTTATGCATGGCAGAGGAAAGGGCACAGTGTCGACGCAAATTTCAGGCCACCGCGCTGTGATAGTCTGTTGGGTGCGCTGCTGTGAGTAAAATATCAAGTCACCTTTTGCTTGATCAAATGGATGACTTTAGAGTCCATGGCCTACAAGGCCTTTGTACAAAGGTGTTGGTTTTTTTAAAAACAAACAAGCAAACACCACAATCTTAGATCTAGGCTCTAGAGGTTTGAAATCTGGAAGGCCTCTGAGGCATGTGCATAGGCCCTCAAATAGTGTGCCTGTTCGGAATGGCAAATAATGTAGCTGCTCTAAGGAAGAGCCATTTTTGTGTAATGGCCAGGAGCTCTTGTGATTGCAAACGCTGTGGCAATATGCTAAAAACATTGAATTCTGTTTTCCCACTGCTTACTAAATTAGTCATGCAATCTTAAGAGTTTTAGAGCTGGAAGGGACCCCAGAGGTCATCTAGTCCAACCCCCTGCAATGCAGGAATCTCAGCTAAAGCATCCATGACAGAACCACCCAACTTCTGATTGGAAACCTCCAAGGAAGGAGAGTCCACAACCTCCCGAGGGTGACAATTCATCACTTTGTCCCATGCAGTCGATAGCCATTCACTGATGGAAGAAGGATAATTAATCTCCCCTCCTTCCCATTTAACAGCAATCTAAATGAGCTACTGTTTCGAGTAATGAACAATAATTACTTAATCTTCAGGTAGACTATTATATCTAATATAACAGGACAGAATAAGCACTGGGCCTAAAGGAAAATCATTTGTTGTCATGCTTCCAATTTTATTTGCAATAGAGTTCCAATACAGTGGTACTTCGAGTTACAAACACCTTAGGTTACAAACGTTTCAGGTTACAAACTCCCCTAACCTGGAAGAGTTACCTCGAGTTGAGAACTTTGGCCCGGGATGAGAACGGAAATCGTGTGCCGGCGGCGCAGCGGCAGCAGTAGGCCCCATTAGCGAAAGTGGTGCTTCAGAATAAGAACAGTTTCAGGTTAAGAACGGACCTCTGGAACGAATTAAGTTCGTAACTAGAGGTACCACTGTAATGTATAATTTTAGGGCATGTCCCAAATAAAGAAAATGTTCTAAAGCAGCTTTTTCTTCTTCTTTTTCTTTATGCAGGTGGGGAAGAAGTCTTGATGAAAGGACTGTCTGGTGTGCGAGCCAAGGCATGGCATACCCTCACTCTGATTCTTACGGTAAGCACCGAAGCTGGAGCATAAAATAAGATTCATTTTGACTGATAGCAAGGGGTGGCATTTAAACTCTTTAGGGTTCTAAAATAGCTATAAACCTAAAATAGCTTATAAGCCTAAAATAGCTATAATTTAATTTGCTATGAGAAGTATTAGCCCTGATGAATATTGATGACCTGCTAATACCACTTGTCCGTCATAACAGGTGGAACCTACAATGAAAATGCTGCAGTGTGGAGTGTTTTAGTTCAGGGTTTCAGCCAGCCAAACCTCTTTTCAGGGTATTCCATTCCATAGCCCCTAAGCAGGCTTTGTCTTCCCTGGACTGTTTTCCTCCACCCCTGCTCCCTCTGCAGAAACCTTAGTGTACCCTGGAGCATCTCTCATCTTGTATGTAGATGATAGTGTTTTGGCTATATAAGGATCCACACTTGGAAAACCTGCTTTGCTATCAGTACATAGGATTTTCCAGAGGTGCAGCCACGCTAGTCTCTTGCAGCAAAAACAATGAAAGGCAGAACATATCCACCATGGGTAGTAGCCATTGATAGCCATATCCTCAATGAATTTGTCTGGTCCTCTTTCTCAAGCCATCCAAGTTGGTGACCGTCACTACTGATTGTGGGAGCAAATGCCTTACCTTAACTAAAACTGAATGGGCATTGGGAAACACACTTGGATGTCTTTCACTTCAACTCACTTTGCAAAGCAGTTTCCAGATAGCTTTGCAGCCCTCGTTCTCGACCAGTTTACTGAAATCCACATCAGACCCTGTACATTAATGTTCTCCCCTTACTTTTGACAGGGCACCAATGCGTCTGGCATGTTAAATGGCTATCCTCTCTGGGCGAACGTCACCATAACGGATCCTGGAAACGGATGGGCAGCTATTGGGACTCACACTTATGAATTTACACAATTTGACAACTTTCATGTTCAGGCCAACTGAGACGCCCGTCATACTTCAACAAGCCAATTCTTGACTCCTTTTAACTTGAGCCAGTTTCAACTCCACTGCCGTCATCATTTTGTAATTGACATTGGTACAGAATTTTTGTTTCTTTTCCCCTCCAGCTTTTGTGAACGAATTCAGCTTTCTTCTAAAGTTTAAATGCGTTTGTGTCGTCCTAATTAGGATTTTCTCAGAATTCAGTTTTCTCTCTTGGCAGAAAGAATTAGTTTCATTAAGTCTCTCTCTGTCCCCTCGCCCCCTTTTCTTTTACAAAGTATAAATGGAACTGGAGCAGAGTCCTTGTCGTTTCATTGGTGGGAATTGTGACTGTTTAGCCTCATTTTAAGAAATGTGCAACAGAGACCTCAGAAAACTGCTGTTTTCAACTGTTTCAAAAGCTATAAAGTCCATTTCTTTTCAGAAGTGCCTGGTGTATCTGGTTGTTATGAAGTGCTGTGAACTGAAAGATCCTTTTGCCTCTTTCGTACTTTATTTGAGGTGATGGAATAAGGGACTCAATGGATTTAAATGTCTCCTTCCAGGAAATGAAAGGTTTCACTCCTCCTCTTCTAAAGTCTTAATTCATATATCTGTTTTTAATGAAAAGCCAGCTGCTAGCTGGCTTCCTTATGAAGTGCCTTATTTTAAACTACCTCTGCTAATGGCAGTGTAGCAAATATGTTGATAGTGCTTGTCACTGTTCGAAGGTTTGATAACTCCACAACTTGCCTCGCCTCTTTGAGCTTCTCTTCTAAACTTGTCTGCCTCTTTCGGTAAATGGAAGGGGGAAAGAATCTGTAAAAGTAATATGGATGAAAAATCAAGGGAGAATGTTTAACCCCACCCTCACGATCCTAAGAGCTAATTTGCACAAGTCAGTTTGAGAGCGCTTGAAGTTGCCAAGCTTTCAGCCATGCACCATTTGTGGGAATCGCAACCTCCATATGGGTCAAGTTAAATATGTGTCCTGCAAGGAGAAAATAGCTCGTACAAACAATAACTTTGCATGAGTCCAATTGCAACTTTATTGGTGACCAGAGAAATCACCGTGAACTGTCCTTGAGACATGTAATGCTTGTACTGACTGCTAATCTATGGTGGCAAATTTCAGGCTTGCAGGATATGGTAGAGCTATGAGGTTCACCAGCTAGACATGGGTGCAAAGTAAGGAAAGTGATTGTGGAGACAGAGACAGGGTTTTTTGTCAGCTGGAACTCAATTCAGACCAAATTCAAAAGTGCAGATAAAAATGTTCCTTATAGCATTTCCTTCTTGATGGGCTTTGACCATAAGCAATGAAGATGTAAGGTCATGACTGATTGGCTGCATTTATTCCAAAGATTTCTCTCCCTTTTTGTGCTAGGGCAGATAATTTCTATTTTTGCATTGTGTACTAAATGTAGCATAATTACAATATTTGTTTCTTGTTAATTTATTAAATGGTAGACTTTAAAGTTGCTTGGTTTGTGAATGTTCTCAACAGGTTAATGTTTGCTGAATGTTTGGACCTCTCATGATTCTTAACAAGAATTCTTAACAAGAATTGCCTTGATGTTACAGCGAAAAGCTGGCATATGGTGGCTGACTACCACAAAGCCTAATGTTTCAAACTGGAAAAATAAATGCTGCTTTAAAACCTTTATATGTCTACAGTGCTGCTTTAAAAATTGTCACTTTTTCTGAAGGTTCGGAGGTAAGCTTTCCTCTTCTGTAGAGTCTGATCTCAAACCCAAAGAGGCTTGTATTTTCACAGCCTCCTTCACTAAATAGGAATATATGCTGAAGGGTTTCACCACATGTGTGGTCTGCATTTTACAATGACGGAGCAATAAATCATATATTGGCAACACAATTAAAATAAAAACAAAATCAGTTGGAAATATAGGAACACTTTGAAGAATATCCAGATTCTTGTCCACAAGAGGGAGCCCCATCCAAATCTACTGGGTCTTCAGGTTTAGTCTTAGAAGTTGCATTATTTGGATAAAGCATACAGTGATTAACATTTTGGCAAAATCTCCTAAGCAGTTTACACACACACATACAAAAAATGTGCAAACAGAAATCAAGATAACAACAAACATGGTAGGATATTACAAACAGAAATCAAAATACAAGAGGTACATTAGAAAAATGTCTTCATTTAAAATAACATTCAGCAGCTGCACGGAATAAAAGTGGGAAGTCCGTATCACCTGTTTTTCATCTTGTATTTGTTCAGTGTAGGTGTAGGTAAATCAGTGTAGCAGATAGCATTTTTATGGAACAAAAATTATGTACCACTTGATCATAAGAGAAACTATGAGTGGTTTACAAAAATACAAAATAAAACATTACAATTACCTACAAACACTTAAATCGAGTACGTAGAAGCATTCAAAATATGATTGAAATAAAGAGAAGCTAAAAAGAGATAAAACACATGTAACTTCTCCATGGCTAGGTAAGCTTGCCTAAACAAAAATGCTTTAAGCAGGTACCAAAAAAGAGTACAGTGAAAGTGCCTGCCTGATATCAATACACAGAGAGTTCCAAACCGTAGGTGCTGCCACACTAAAGGATTGATTTATGAGGAACCTGTAGCACTGCTAGTTCTGGAGACTCAGGTGGTTGGCAGGGTATATGTGGTTTAAGGCGATCCCGCATGTCAATGAGTCTCAGGCTGTTAAGGGCTTTCTATGCTAATATAACCTTGAACTTGGCAAATGGACAACCAGTGGAAACTGAGCAAAGGTGTTACATGCTAACAAGGTCTCACTGCTGTCATCAACAGTGCAGCAGCACTCAGCACTAACCACAGTTTCTAGATCCTGTGCAGGGAAAGCCCCACATACCGTGTGTTGCAGTTATCTAATCTTAAAGTCACCAGTGCCTGAATTGCGGTCAGGCTCTCTTGGTCTAGGAATGGCTGTAGCCGTTGCGCCAGTCGCAGCAGGTAGAAGGTGCTTCTGCTCACTGAGGCTTCCAGAGCCTGTGTGGTGTAGTGGTTAAGAGCGGTAGACTCCTAATCTGGTGAACCGGGTTCGTGTCTCCGCTCCTCCACATGCAGCTGCTGGGTGACCTTGGGCCAGTCACACTTCTCTGAAGTCTCTCAGCCCCACTTACCTCACAGAGTGTTTGTTGTGGGGGAGGAAGGGAAAGGAGAATGTTAGCCACTTTGAGACTCCTTAAAGGGAGTGAAAGGCGGGATATCAAATCCAAACAATTCTTCTTCTTCTTCTTCTTCTTCTTCTTCTTCTTCTTCTTCTTCTTCTTCTTCTTCTTCTTCTTCTTCTTCTTCTTCTTCCTGGGCCTCCAGCGACAGAGCTGGATCAAGAAACACACCCAAACTCTTCACTTGCCTCTGTAGGGGGAATGCAGCCTTTTCCAGGGCACTGCTAGTCCAGTCTTCACAAGGTAATAATCCAACCATGGTAAGGAAGCGCCTTGCACCCCCTATCTTCCTTCCATCTTTCATATCACTTGCAGTAAATACGACATCAGCGGTGAGCCCTGATTGATGCGTTGGACCATTAGAGAATTAAGGAATTGGTTTGGGTGGCTTCTGTTCAAATCAGAACTGGGCTAACAAATCCAGCCAGCTCTTTTTTGACCACTTGCAAGAGGAAAATAAATTCCCCTGATTTCTTTCTCTTTTTTATTTAAAGCCGTGTGCCACTCAGAATCGTGGTTGGCAGGAAACAGAGCACCTTGCAATGCTTCCTGGTTGCCTTGGGGGCAATGGGATGTGGCACGCTTTTGATGGGGAATATAAAACCCTCAGCCACCATAACACAAAAGTGAAGTATGGGATGTCTCCTTCCCCCAACAAACTGGGAACTTTTTATCTCCCCACAACCCTCACAAGAAAGCAGCAGAAAATCTATTCCTGATTTCACAGGGAGCGGGAGAGCAGCCCAGCTTTAATTGAAATTCCTGTTTGCCCATGAAGCTCACTGGGTGACCTTGGGTCATTCAGTTAATCTAACCTACTTTACAGGGTTCTCGGGATAAACTGGACTTTATCCCTATGGATGGCACACCCTGAGTCTCTTGGAGGAAGGACGAGATGTACAGATGTAGTCATTCTTGGAGCCTACAGCCTCACCTTTCATAAGTGCTCAGTCCAACATCGAGTGCCCTTGGGAAGGAAACAGGCTGCCAAAATGTTAAATATCCCAAAGATTTGTAATTAGCCATTGCAATCCCAACAGCCCAGATGGTTCCACAATACTGGGAGCATATTTCAGTATTGCTCGGTGAAATATGGAGCAAGGTTGTATTACAATGTTTGGGTTTGCCGGAATGGAGGAAGGAAGTGAAAAGGATAAATCCCAGGAAACGTTGCTTAACGTCTATTCGGAACAGATGTACACAGAGAACTGAAACGATGTAGCTACTCTGCATTATGCTGGTAGGCAGCAATGCATTGTTCTCTATTAAGCATATCAGGAAAACAGAAAAGGCAAGCTCAAGTTAAATTGTGAATGTGGAAAAACAACAACACCTTGATCATGTGTTAAGTTTTCAGTAACTTGAAGCAATGGCTTTAAGGCAGCATGGGTGGGGATTAGGCCTCTCCCCTCCCCGCAACAATGGATAGAAATAAATAATAAATGAATAAAGAAATGCAGAACACACTCAATAGTTCCACAGCTGTATAATGCTTTTTGGGTCGGGAGAGAGAGTAAAATAAAGAAAATATTCAAATGCAAAATGGGAAGTTTCCTTAGTTCTGCTTTTGGAGCTGGCTACATTCTGCTCTGTTATAAGACAGCTGCTACCTTGCTCTTTAACACACACAAGCACATCACAGGAGGAGAGACGGAGAAGGGGGGGGGGAGAACAAAAACCTTGAAGGGGTATATGTGTGGGGGTGGAGGGGTGGGCAGAGTGAGCAGAGGAAATCGCAGCACCTCAACGTTTGAAACAAGAAGAGGAATTTGAGAGTTGTGTTTTGCAGCTGCTTCTGCTAAGTCTCTGTGTTGCACAGTTTGCCACACGTTCTTCCAACAACAAGAGACGCTCCCTTTGCAGTCCCAGCTGCAGGCTCCTCTCAAGTTAAATCCCTCCCAGACTCGCAATTTCAACCACATGATACATGCCCTAAGAAACAGGGGAGGAGGAGGAGTGTGGGGGAGAGGGACATTGTCCAGAGCTTCACCATTTTCTTTCAACTTTCATTTCTGTCCCTTCTTCCTCCCTGCCCCAACCTCTCTCTCGTATCACTGTCCTTGTCTGCGCACCCCCTTTATTTTCTTCAAGTTGGCACCCCTGCTGGTTTTCACAAGTGGGGAGAGCCATGTTGTGCTCAGGTTCTGCTTCTGGGTTTCCTGTGGGTATCTGGCTGGCTGCTGTGAAAACAGAGTGATGGCTGGGATGAGTCCTTGGCCTGATCCAGCAGGGCTCTGCTTACATACTTAGGAGTTGGAATCTAACAGTACCTGGAGCCTCCCCATGTGCTGGCCCCAGGGGTAACCCATGAAACGCAGTCCAGGACTGGTCCAGGATCCGAAGGTTCCGCTTGGAGTCAGTCCGTTAGGGCCAAGGCAGGAAACCAGGCAAGGACAGGTACAGGATCTAGCATACAGCAATGTTGCTCCTGCAACCTGGGGTGTGTGTGTCCTACAGCCTTTTATTTTTGTCGGGGTAGCGGCCGGTCCTGATCCCCCAGCAACTCACCTCCCTGTTTCACCCGAAGGCGAGCACTCCTCCTGCAAGTACTCAGGTCTCTCCTTCTCTCACACCTTAGTCTCTGCAGCTCGGGAGACATCGGTGGGTTACTAGATCCAGGGGCCACCTCAGCCTCCCCTGACCAAACTGGTAGTGGAGCAGCTGTAAGTGATGGCCCAGGAAGGCAACAAGGTAATCCCCGCATCTGGAACCAGGGCAGGCTCAGGCCCCTGACTTGGCCCAGCTGGTGTTTGTTGCAGGGGAACCTGTGCAGACTGGGTCTCTTCAGGATCAGGCCCCAGACTTGGTTCAGATGATGCCTGAGTCTCCTCTGGTTCCGAGCCTGAGTCCCAGGCCAGCACACCCCAGCCCTATCTTACTGGCGTGTTGCTTTTGTCTCTGTGCTGCATAGCAGGGCACTCTGAATTTTGTTGGAACACCAGAATTGGGCAGCAGGGCTGTGTGAATGTGTGTGCAGCTTTTTATCTACAGGCCATTTTCCTGATCAAAATTGGCAGGGGCATGTATCTCCTGCTTCACACATACTTTTGGCCCTTAAATTCCTCTTGGCTTGAGAAATTTCCCTTTTGAGGAAACACTCCTTCCCCAGTCTCATTGCCACATCGTGCTTCTGAAGGTTGAGCAGCCCAGACGGCTGACTGATCTTTAAACAATGCCATCAATTGTATTGAGGAATATGTTGCCGGTCTCAACCTCATATTCCACTGGAGGTCAGCCTTGGTGATCCCAAGCTGCCGTCCATATGAAACGCTTTTGCATACAAAATGGAAAATAACCGTCTTGTGGGTTTCTGGAAATGTTCTACAACACAGTAAATGAGTAGACCTGAGGGGTAGCTCTGGCATTTCAGTGCCCTGAGACATATGTGAACCAATCTTCAGATTCAACTATTAACAGTGCTGTCTTCTCCAAAGACTCAAGTGTGTTGAGGTATCAATCACTGGGTTCGTCTTTAGCCCCTTTCATA